GGATGAATATTGCCTAAGATATGGCCTACATAGTGGGTCATATGGGGCTCCCCATGCATTCTGCACATTTTGAAGGGGACAGCCCAGAAAATTTGACAAAAAATCTTAAAAATATTTTGTTTCCAGATTTTGATGCAGATTTATGGAGAATCGTTCCACAAATCGTTTAAGGTATTCCGTTCAAGAATCGGATGAATATTTCCTAAGATATGGCCCACGCAGTGGGTCATATGGGGCTCCCCATGCATTTTGCACATTTTGAAGGGGACAGCCCAGAAAATTTGACAAAAAATCTTAAAAATATTTTGTTCCCAGATTTTGATGCAGATTTATGGAGAATCGATCCACAAATCGTTTAAGGGATTCCGTTCAAGAATCGGATGAATATTTCCTAAGATATGGCCTACGCAGTGGGTGATATGGGGCTCCCCATGCATTTTGCACATTTTGAAGAAGACAGCCCAGAAAATTTGACAAAAAATCTTAAAAATATTTTGTTCCCAGATTTTGATGCAGATTTATGGAGAATCGTTCCACAAATCGTTTAAGGTATTCCGTTCAAGAATCGGATGAATATTTCCTAAGATATGGCCTACGCAGTGGGTCATATGGGGCTCCCCATGCATTTTGCACATTTTGAAGGGGACAGCCCAGAAAATTTGACAAAAAATCTTTAAAATATTTTGTTCCCAGATTTTGATGCAGATTTATGGAGAATCTATCCACAAATCGTTTAAGGTATTCCGTTCAAGAATCGGATGAATATTGCCTAAGATATGGCCTACATAGTGGGTCATATGGGGCTCCCCATGCATTCTGCACATTTTGAAGGGGACAGCCCAGAAAATTTGACAAAAAATCTTAAAAATATTTTGTTTCCAGATTTTGATGCAGATTTATGGAGAATCGATCCACAAATCGTTTAAGGTATTCCGTTCAAGAATCGGATGAATATTTCCTAAGATATGGCCCACGCAGTGGGTCATATGGGGCTCCCCATGCATTTTGCACATTTTGAAGGGGACAGCCCAGAAAATTTGACAAAAAATCTTAAAAATATTTTGTTTCCAGATTTTGATGCAGATTTATGGAGAATCGATCCACAAATCGTTTAAGGGATTCCGTTCAAGAATCGGATGAATATTTCCTAAGATATGGCCTACGCAGTGGGTGATATGGGGCTCCCCATGCATTTTGCACATTTTGAAGAAGACAGCCCAGAAAATTTGACAAAAAATCTTAAAAATATTTTGTTCCCAGATTTTGATGCAGATTTATGGAGAATCGATCCACAAATCGTTTAAGGTATTCCGTTCAAGAATCGGATGAATATTTCCTAAGATATAACCTACGCAGTGGGTCATATGGGGCTCCCCATGCATTTTGCACATTTTGAAGGGGACAGCCCAGAAAATTTGACAAAAAATCTTAAAAATATAATGTTCCCAGATTTTGATGCAGATTTATGGAGAATCGATCTACAAATCGTTTAAGGTATTCCGTTCAAGAATCGGATGAATATTTCCTAAGATATGGCCTACGCAGTGGGTCACATGGGGCTCCCCATGCATTTTGCACATTTTGAAGGGGACAGCCCAGAAAATTTGACAAAAAATCTTTAAAATATTTTGTTCCCAGATTTTGATGCAGATTTATGGAGAATCGATCCACAAATCGTTTAAGGTATTCCGTTCAAGAATCGGATGAATATTTCCTAAGATATGGCCTACGCAGTGGGTGATATGGGGCTCCCCATGCATTTTGCACATTTTGAAGAAGACAGACCAGAAAATTTAACAAAAAATCTTAAAAATATTTTGTTCCCAGATTTTGATGCAGATTTATGGAGAATCGTTCCACAAATCGTTTAAGGTATTCCGTTCAAGAATCGGATGAATATTTCCTAAGATATGGCCTACGCAGTGGGTCATATGGGGCTCCCCATGCATTTTGCACATTTTGAAGGGGACAGCCCAGAAAATTTGACAAAAAATCTTTAAAATATTTTGTTCCCAGATTTTGATGCAGATTTATGGAGAATCTATCCACAAATCGTTTAAAGTATTCCGCTCAAGAATCGGATGAATATTTCCTAAGATATGGCCTACGCAGTGGGTCATATGGGGCTCCCCATGAATTTTGCACATTTTGAAGGGGACAGCCCAGAAAATTTGACAAAAAATCTTAAAAATATTTTGTTTCCAGATTTTGATGCAGATTTATGGAGAATCGATCCACAAATCGTTTAATGTATTCCGTTCAAGAATCGGATGAATATTTCCTAAGATATGGCCTACGCAGTGGGTCACATGGGGCTCCCCATGCATTTTGCACATTTTGAAGGGGACAGCCCAGAAAATTTGACAAAAAATCTTAAAAATATTTTGTTCCCAGATTTTGATGCAGATTTGTGGAAAAGAAATCGAAGGTGTAACTTTCAGCACGAGGGCAAGCGCGCCTTTGCCCAACTGTTAAATCCGCCACTGTATTTACCCATGGGATTTCTCAAAACCTATAGTAATGAAAAATTCTTTTTCCTGATGAAATTCATTAAATACTTTGTCACTATCTGAGAACTTTAAATAATTCATATTAATAAACAAAGGAATTAGTAATACTCAATGACATATCCATATATCTGGATGAGAGCTCATTACTCTCGGGTTGAATAATGCATGAAATCATTATTTTATGTGAACCATATAGAGAACAGAAATATTCCCTTGGCAATTAGTTTCTCAAGGACATGCGATTAAGTAGGAAAAACTAATAAACTTAAAGAATTTGCAATGATTTTTAAAATATATATTTTTATTGTTGATTTTATGATTACAAACGCTTGTTAATAGTTGCGTGAACCATTTTTTGTTGCAATTCAACTATGCTTTTACGTCTATCAATACGTCCTCATGTGCGTTGTTGAATGTTACTCCTGACTCTGCTGCCCTTTCATTTCTTCTTTTAGCCTTATACAAAATAAATCCGATTAGCAAAATAGTCACACTTAGAAGGACCACACCCGCGTAAAACATGAAATCAAATTTCAAATATATGGGAGCTAAATTAGCCTTTGAAATTGTTTTTTCGGTTGTTCCGGCTGTTGAACTTTCTTCTGTTGTTGTGGTTGTTGGCAAGGGTTCGCATTGTTTGTTGTCAGATTCTATGTATCCAGGACAACAGGATTTAACTTCTTTTGTCCTAATTATTTTCTGCGGATTTTTTATAACAGCTAGTTAATACCACACATACTTAAGGACGATTTGCTTACCTTGAAATGTGTACCGAGGGATATATTCAAACGTTTATAAAGATCTGCAGCGGCACTTCCAATATCCTCCGGAGTTAATGCAACTTTTTCTGAAGTTGTCACGTTCACTGGTTGGTTGCAAAAATGCGAATCTTCATCACAAAAAACAAATTGGAATATGGATATTGTCAAAATTAGTAGAATTATTGACTTCATTGTAGCGTGTGACTTTATCCAGGCGTAAAGGCAAAATGTAACTTTTTACAAGTGGATAAAATATATAAGTTGTTTTTAATAATCTTTCAAGACCATACTATATAAGGGGGATGAATAAAATACGGAAAAAGCCCTTTTTATCAGGTCATCAATAAAGCTTAAAACTTTAATTATACTTTCAAAATTCATATATATACGTCTTTATGTATTTATATATATATTTTAGATTATTCTTTCTCTTTGAAATTATGCAAATTACTGATTTATTAAAAGTTTGTTCCCTTTATTAAGAGGGGGATAAGACTACCCTCTTAATAAAGCGAATCGCTTTTAATGAATGATGAATGAAGTTAAGCTGTGTAGAAAAAAAAAAACTAAGAGTAGAGATTTTTTTGGATTGTATATTTTAACTTTTAACCGAAGAATTTGTAGTTTAATTTATTATCCTGTAGTTTATAATTTATATCCTGAATATTTTGAAATTTGTGGCTTAACATAAACAGCTCAATACCTATGTCTTAATGTCTTTAAGAATGTCTTGTTTTTATTTTTTTTTAAATGGATTGTAGATGATATTTACCTTTTTATACTTAAATAAATATATGAATATAAAAGGGTATTTAAAATTTTTAAAAAGTTTTTGTCATTTTCAATATTTTAAAGCTTCTGAAAGCTGTTTCTAGCTTTGTTTAAAGCTAGCTTTGATGAAGTTGAGCTTATATTAAGACATTAAATACCAAAGCCTAGTTTTAGGCAAACTTTAAAAAAGTTAAAACTAATCAGACATGTAAAAGGGTAATCGCCAACTTCAAACACTCTTTTTGTTTTTATCTGAGTCCAAGTCTAAGGAATAATAATAGAAAAATGAATTACATATATTTAAGATTATCACTCCTTTCAGAATCGATTTATTTTCATTCAGACTTTTTTATTAATTTATTGCAAACATTCTTATAAATATTAATAATCCAGAATTTCCAGAAAACTAAAAATGTGTTCTTCAGTGTTCTGGAGATATCTTTATGGAAAATCTTTTATCATTGGAGATCGTATTAAAATACCATATTACGATCAAAATTATTGATATCGGACCATCCCATTTTTTTTTATAAAGATTCTGATCAATATTGAAATTAAATCATTATAGTAATGACATTTTCGCTTTCAATCTGAAAATTTCGGCTTGAGAATTTCCTTTTGTTTGAGAAAAATTTGCACCGCCTTCGTTGAAGATTTCAGCCTTCAGCTTTCAATAATCCTTTTTAAATTATAAAAATATTTAAAAATTTAAAAAAATTCAAAATTTTTGAAGGGGAGGATTGAATTAGGAGGGATTTACAAAATAAGTCTTATGATTTATTGCCTATAATAATTTACAGAGACCGTAAATAAAGATAATTTTTGATTTTAATTTTGTATAAACAAAAAAATAAATACAAAAAATAATTATTATTTTTTGATTTTTTAAATAAAACTCATTATAGTTTCTGTCCCTGCTAATTTCGTATCAGTTTTTTCCCACCATTAAAATCCACAATTTTTACATCATTTTCTTTTTATTTACATTATTTAAATATGTACAAACATTTCATAGAAAAGAAGTTGACATGAAAAAGTCGAAGGAGCAACTCGTCAGCATTTGTTTCTCAGTGATTGTCTACAAAAGAACTGTACACATGGCGGATGCGAAAGCACGGAGACAGGCATTTTTGGGGCGCCGTGGGTGTATGGGTGCTGGCAAGCTTTCTTGATTAATTTTAACCCAAATCCACGGTGGCCACACTCATGTTCTTCTCCTGCCTCGTATCCCCCCAGAATTTCGGTTGGTATCACAAACTAAAAACTAAATTTTTTAAGTCGTACGTTGGCAGTTGCTGGACGTGGATAAGGTCGTGGGTGGGGTGGGTTCTTTTTTGATACTTTCGACTCGTTAATGCGCTCGCCTTCACCCTCGATACACTTCTCGATCGGCCCTCGACAGCGATACGATTTGATTTACTTTTTGTGGAGGTAGCCACCATGGCCGGAGATGCCATAGGAGGAGATGCCGTGTCCGGAGATTCCGTGTCCGGAGATACCGTACGAGGAGATGCCGTGGCCGGAGAGTCCGTGGCTAATGATGGCTGGAGCCGGGGCAGCGACGGTGTGGGTGACAGCCACAGCGGGCTTCACGTGGCTCTCAACGTGGACGGGCACTGGCACGGCTACCTTGTAGGGCACTGGGCGCTCAACATGGACGGGCACCTTGTGGATCACGCGCTTCTCAACGGTGTAGGGCACTGGCTTCTCGACGGGCACGGGGTAGGGCTTCTCAACATGGACGGTGTAGGGACGGTCGACGGGGATCTTGACGGGGATCCTGACGATCTTCTCCACGGGGTAGGGCTGGGGAACCTCAACGGGCACCTTCACGATCTCCTTCACGGGAACATGGACGATCTTCTCCACGGGGTAGGGCTGGGGCACAGGCACCTTAACGGGGTAAGTAACGGTCTTCTCGACGGGGTAAGGCACATGACGCTCCACCTGGTAGGGCACCTGCACGGTCTTGATCACGGTGTTGGTGTGCACCTGAGTGGGCAGTTCAGCGACTGGGTGGGCGATGGGGGCGGCGATGGCGGCGTGGGCAACTCCGATGCCGGATCCGAGGATAGCTCCGCCGGCAGATGGTCCGTAGCCGTAACCCAGGCCGTGGCCAATGCCGCGTTTCTCCTGCTTCTTCTCAGCGGGCTCCGCGGCCTCGACGGCCTTCTTGGGCGCCTCCTCACTGGCACTGGCCACCAGCACGCACATAGCCACAAGGCCAAAAATGAGCTGCAATGGCAACGGTTGAAGAATTAAATTGGTTAGCCAGGTGGGTAATGGGGCTTGGGTGGATTATGTAAGCGAGTACACCGCTTCCGCCTCCGCCTTCGGTTGCCCCACCATAATTTCAAATATGACAATTATGCAATATCTGGAAAGTGGCCTGGGCAAGCAGCCAAGTTCATTGGTGGCCTAGTCCCCTGATCTATTGGCAACGCTGCGTATGCGTAATTTTAATGTTTTAATGTAAAAAGGTAATGTTTAGACTAAATTCTATTAAATAATTTTGTTTTTTTTTGTTTTTTTTTTTGGTATATGTTACTCTAATCAGTTTTAGATTTTATTATTTTTTTCTGAGCCATGAAAAAAAATATAGAAAATCTCTAACATTTAAACTAAGAATCTGTTTCTTAAGTTGCACATAATCCTTGCAATTTTAAATACAAATTTTTGCTAGAACAACAATTTGATTTAGCTACTGCTGCCACACAAACGAATCTTAATTATTCCGTTAATAACTTAGGTTTGTTAAAGCACTTCAACTGAAATCGAGTTCCTTTCGCACAAAAAATATTTATGGCAAAATAATGCTAAGTGACACTTTGAAGGAGAACACACTGAGTTTGGTCCGAACATACCATGGATTTCATTTTGCACTAGGTTTACTCCTCGACACTTTGCGATCAAGATGGGCTTGTTTGTCTCAACCAACCCGCAACAGTTAACTGAATAATTTTGCACAGACGTCGCGAGCTTTTATATCGCCGATGCTACGCCGGATTGTCTTCGCCGCAAATCCAGATCGCAGCAGCCGACCCGAAAGCTCGCTCTCTAGCCAACCTCTCTGGGGGCCGTGTACGTGTGAGCCGTGTTCGCCAAAGGAAATACGTCAGAAGCGAGCTTTTGCCGTTGCAGAGGGTGCGCTGCTCACCGACACTGTCCGTGTCGTTCGTGTGATCTGGCGCCGGTGTGCGTGCAAGTCGGTGAGCGTCCGTGTTAGCCATTCCAGCTTGGCTAGTTAGCAAACGTCGAGGCTTCGAACCTGAGCTACAAGCTAAAGACAGTCCTCAAGTTATATTAATCAAATTTTTCATTATATAATTATATATATTCACTTATTAATTTTCTGGAAACGTAGTAACTCCCATTCTTCTGGAAATTATTTTTTCCATAAAGCTAGGTTAGCAATAACTGATTTTAAGTATTGCCCCCGCATAATCAAATTAGGAACCACGCTCAAAATATTTTCCCGCCACAAGGTAAATCCACATTAGCCACACATTTCGGCGGTTTTCCTGCAGCAGCCGTAGTACCAGTTGCCAATTCGTTGTACAATTTTTTCTGAAGCCAAAGTTTGCGCCTCATAGTCTGCTTGATTCTGTGTGGCTTCGTGACTGAACTCTTGATCTCTGATTTGTGTTTCGGTTAGTATTCTTTTTAGTCGTTTTTCAGATTTGTTTTGTATCTGGCGAGGCTCAGCAAAGACTCAGCTCAAGCCTTGATGTAGGTGCATTGATTGAATGTATCTGGTCTGCGACGCGGTGTGGGTAATTTGACATTTTAATGCTGCAGAGGAAATACTCGCCAGTGGCCATGTAAATGGAACGTGTGAACAATGAGTGGACCGCAAAGGCGCACAAAGGAGAACAGATACTCAGATACTCAACAAATAGTGAACAAAACCGAGCCATGTTAGATTTATGTGCATTAAATTAATTGTGGATATAATGTCCAGACATAATGGCATCGGAGCGTATTAGGCGTATTGTAATGTGCAGTTGAAGGCGAAGGCCGTCCGAATTCATCACCGCCATAACCGCCATCATCACCATCACAATCGGTTGCAAAGTCTGAGTCAAAGTTGAACCAAATTCGGGGGCCCATGGACGGCGTGGACAGCAAGGGGGATCGGCGGGTGGTAGGCCTTGCCGATGTGGCGCTTCTTTTGTGGCCGGCGCTTTGAATAATGTGAGGCTATCGTCGCAGAATCGCGCCACTGCAATCGAGCGGATGACTTAAGCGCTTCAATAAAAATGTATATGCAAACTAATACGAATTCAACAACAAACAAAAGAGCCCGGCCACAAAGCTCAAGTTCAAGTTTATGCATCAGGTTTTGTCTTACTTCTTTTATCTTCAGTTTGTTTTCGTTGGGGCTTTTTATGGTTTTTCTAGATCACTTTCATTTTGGTTGTTGAATCGAAAAAAATTAATTTAAATACAAGATCTTGGATTCGAAATCTACAGTTGTTAACAGCTCAAAAAGTTCATATAGGTTTGGGGTATAAAAGAGTATATCGATTTATTGAAAAATATTATTTAATAAAAACATATCTAATATAAACAAAAGACTTGACTAATTTTGTAACTACATGAGTCGTCATTTAGTTGAGGCCTTCTAGTCTTTTCTAGTAGAATTCCCCTTTTTGGGGGAATTTATTTGGTCATAAAGCTGGAATTAGTTGAATATCAAAATATACTTTGCAAATGTGGTTCTTGTTTTATGCAAATGTCTCATTGCCTATGCAAAGTGTTTAAACTTTAAAGTGTGTGGCTCCCAAACACGGAGTAATTTTCAGCGCCAGAACAAAGATAAAAATCCAGCTACTTTAAATTAGAAAAATAAATTAGAAAGTAGCGGACGCCATAAGAACTAAGCAAGTCAACAAATAATTATGAATAACTGAATATTCAAAAACGAAGTAACGATCATGTTAGTCAAATCTTCAAATTCACAGATTAACCACGCATTTCCATAAGATATAGTTCGTGTCGTCTGGAGTGGAGGGCCTCATTAGTTAATTTCTTGTTTGACATTTATAACTAACTAATTTATTTATTAATGGTTTTTTGACGTCACAGCCAAACTTGATATAACGAAGAAAAGTTGTAAATAGCTGGGGTGTATTTGAATAACAAATACACTGTCCAAAGATCAATAAAATTTATTTTTTAACAATCTAGTTTCATTGGTAAGCTGTACTAGTTTAATTTATTTTGAGTTTTATACCCTTGCTTAGGGTATTATAATTTTGGTAAAAAGTTTGCAAGACATTGAAGGAGACATTTCCGACCCTATAAGTTATATATATTTTTTATCAGGATCACCGCGAATAAATTCGAAACTTCCAGGATCGGCCGACTACATCTTATATATGAACGATCGAAAACGACCCAAATGGTCAACCGATACGACGTACAAAATTTCATAAGGATTGGCCGACTATTTCCTACCTATATCGATCGGATATGACCCAACTTTGGTATTTTTTTAGATAGAAGCTCGAACTTTGTTTACATTTTGTATTCTTTTAAATTGGATTTATTGATATTCTCATAAGGATCGGCCAACTTAATCCGATATTTGGGCGGTTCTGCCCAAAGTTAGTTTTTCTTTCTTTTTGAGATTCTTGAAGTAGTTCTAGGGTATTTAAACGGTGTAATATGAACTCACACTTTTTTTTTGATTATCCAAAACTTATTTACTTTCAGGGGATTTTTTTTAAGACTTCCAGACGTCTCAAGTCTTTTTCTTAAGTTCAAAAATGATATAACCAACTCAAATAAGTGTTCTTGGGCTATAAATTTAAAAAGATAGCTGAAGAAAAAGCATTAAATTATTCGTTGGCGATCCTGGCTTAGCATTGTTCTGGGCCAGGCATTAGTCTCATTAAAAATGATTTAAATCTAAAACAGCAAACACCTTTCGTGTTAGCAAGCCATAAATTAAACAACATAAAAATAAACAAAAAAACATAAAGCTATTCAAATTTTTGTTTAGCGTCTTTCTCGAGCATTGTTCTTGTGTCGGCGACTCACTCTAAAAAAACCCGAAAACCCAGAAATTTGTTGACATCAACGAAAAAGCTTAAAAAAAATTATATGGAGGGTAATTAACTAGCCAATCTGCAGTGACTCGAATTTATTATAGGGAAACAGCACTCATGAATCTCGCTCAATTCAGTTCGACTTATTGATCGCTGCTTAGCATTTGGCATTTGTTGGAAGTGTTTTTGCACCTCCACATAGCTTGATCCCCGAGCATTCTCTAGTTGCGTTTGCTCCAGTTTTGAGATGCCACGCATTTGTCAATCGAATGCCAAACATGTTTCTATGTCTGATCCGTGCAAATATGCTCCACACTGATTAATTTTGCTTTTAACTTTTTTCGCTAATAGAAACTATGAACCACTTTTTGTGGCGAGCTCAACTAATTGCGGTCTATCGGCATTTGAGTTGATTTCTAAATTGTGTCTAAAAACTTATAAGACGTCTAATGTATTAGTCTTATTTTGAGTTCTTAAGCCTAATAGGACAGATCCGTTGATTGGCTGAGAAGGTGTACTCATCTAGAGCCATTACCATCTCCCACTATTTCTTCACCTGCACTCATCAACGAATGTTAACATTTTAAATTAATCATAATCAAAAGGTCCGAAAGGAAACGGCGAAGGTAATGCCTCATTTAATTGAGCACTTGTCTTAGTACTTGTAGTTAGCGTCAGTCAGGGTCATTTTTCGGGCTTTAATCGGCCTGAAATTTATCATAATTAAAGAGACACTCTAGCGACACAGTTTGACCCAAATGTTGGATATTGAATTGGAATGCGAATGCAGTGGCAAAAGATTTTCTTCGGCCGGCCGGCTATAAACGATTTCGTGCTGGAGCTAAGGATTTCGTGCTGGAGCTTTGGGATTGTTACTTGCGGCTGAGCCGAGTTCAGCTTATGCTCTGAGCCCGGGCAAGTAACATTTGTCAATTGAAATGGCCAGAAAAACAGAAACTTGTACAAACTCTGCTGTGGAGACAATCGTGCAAAACCTTCGACATTTAATTTTGTTTCGTTTTTGTTTATCTTTTATTTTTTGAGGACTGCACGTTCGGTTAGCAAAGAAAATTGTCTAGAAAAAATACTGTTTACATGAAGCCATTTTTGTTGCTTCGTTTTCGGTTGATAATTGCCCGAAAAAAGGTCAAAAAGAGCAACAAAAAATTGTTTATACGTTTGTTGATGGACACTATTTTTCGCTACTGTCTTACCGCCGTGACCTCAACACCCTCCGAATTAACAACAATAATGACCTTTGGCGGACGGTTCGCACTTAAATTTCGGCCTGTAATATTTTTGGGAAAACTCCACCAATCATTAGTCAGACCCCGAACAATGGACTCGAAACGAAACGAAACGAAATGAGCCAAAATGAATCTTTCGATTTGACATTTTCCATGTAATTGGCCAAATGCGGTTAGGGGCCCGGCCCCGCTTCAGACCTTGAATTATCAGACCAATACAATTCTTCCACAGCACTGCCGTCGATCGCAGCCGAAACCGAAGTGCACACGGAACCAGACTCTTGTGCCTCCGACAGAACCTGAGTGGCAGCCTCCGCAGCTTTTGGTTGCCGGATCCAGTACAGAACTGGCTGGCACGCCCTCTGCAACGCCCCCGCCGACACCTACAGCAACAAGTCTGGCTACCAAAACAAAAAAAAATATTATATATAAAATAATGCAAATTAAGACTTTATTCGGGAGCTTGAATGGGTTGATCAAAAAATAATTAAGGCAATAAGGAAAATAGACACAAAAAATTTTGAACCTTTTAAAAAAATAATAAAAATAATTTAACTTAACAAAAATAGTATGCGTTTATGCTTATAATATTGGAGAAGTATAAAATTACTTTAGGTATTTTTTTGAAAGGGTTAATATTATCTTGATCTTCCCATAAAGTTCCCAGACATAGTTCTTATGGTCATTTATATTGCCTGCCGACTTCATTGACATTTTTGTTTTCATGTTTGGGGCGAGCTCGTGTTTGGCAATAAAAATAAATAAATCATTTTGAACTCTTGCTATTGTTGTGTCGTACGAAAACTCAACAGCAATTAGTGCAAAAAAACTTTTCAAAACAATAAGATCAGAAAAAAAAAATCGGTTGGCCTGGGAATTATGTCGTTTGCTCTACTTTTGTTTTTGCATTTTATGCAATATGCGGGAGTGTGTGTAACACCATCAGATGTAATGAAAATGTATATTTTTATGTTGCAAATTTTTAATTCCCAGGTCTTGTATGGGAGAACAATGGCATCCACAACGAAGAGATCAGTATTTAGGGTATTATTATTACAAATTTTAAGAAAACTACTTGAAAATGCTTTTATAAAAATCTCAAATCGTCTAAATTTGTGTGTGATTCAAAGTTTTTTCTTTGCCTAACTAACTTAATACAACAGACAGCTTCAATTGCTCCAGTGGCATTTGGGCAAGCACCCACCTGCCACGCCCACGAAGATCAATGAAAAATTAGGCAAATGATTCGACTGCAACTACATGTCATGACTCGACTCGACTTTGTGAAATACAAAATTACTAATATCAACAGCAGCCATCCCACAGAAGACAATGAATGGACAGAAAAGAAGTGGCAGTCGGCGCACAGGCCGAACTGAGCCAGCGACTGCAACTGCAACTGTTTGCTGCAAATGCCACAGTGACACACTAACTGGGTGACTTCAAAAGCCTGCAACGACACCAGCAACAATAACAACAGCTCCAACAGCAAACGGCAACGGCAACGGCGCCGAGACACCTAAATGCAACAACAAAAATTATGCAACTTCTGCATAGTCTTGCAGCAGCTGCAGCATTAAACTCCTGCAGTGGCCCGGCGGCTTGGCCACATTTGGGAATCTGCCGCCACTGGTGCACTCTGATTTTGTTGTTGTATTTGTTTTTGTGCTTTTGGAAAGATGTTTTCCAAGAGATTTGGCTATTCAATTTGGATACTGCTCTTTGGCCAAATGCCCCTCAAAGGCGTTGTCTCCCATAGTTGGCTCATTTGACATAGTTCGCGGGACAGATAAAGAACTCGAAGGAGTGTCCGCCGTCCAGGGAGAAACACTTTCAATACGGAAACTGCCAGTGAGCTGAGGATAAATCGCCTTGGAATCGAGTTCGTTGCCTAAGTCTTTTGTTTCGTTCGCTGAATGCTGGATGCTGGATGCAGGTGAAAGGATTCGCCTGGCTTTCGTGCGAAACACACCCGTGGTTAAGTCTAGACCAGACCAGAGGCGGCCGGCCATAATTCATAAAGCAATTGCATAATCCGATTGAATGCGATGCGGTAGCTTTTATAAAGTTAATTGTTTGCTATTTGAATGAACCATCCATGGGGCCATGGGACGGAGATGCCAGTGCAGTTGTCAAACAGAAGTCATAGAGGTTCAATTAAAAGATGTAATAAAGATAAAGATTTTCATGTATTAGCAAGGCAAGATTTGTCAGATTTTAAAGCATTCGTAGCTACTCATCATGGTAGGGTCAAACCGTCTTCGCATTTAGCTGAAAAGCGATCTACCTCCAAGTCAATGACTTCAGTTGCATTGTGGTCGCAACAAGTATTTGATTCGCAGTCGACTGGCCAAATGAAGCAGTGAGCTCTGCTACAGGGCAAAAAATAAAAATAAAATTATAGTAAAAAAACTCATGAGGAGCATGTGGGAGGGTCTCCGGAGGGGTGAGTATATTGGGTAGGAGTCATTGGGATTTCCAGATTGCCAAAGACGTTCGCTTCACTTGACTTGCGCAGCGGCGACTTCGATTACGTTCGCCATTTGAGTTTTGGTTTCGGTTTTGGGTTTTGAGTTTTGTGATCAAAAAAACTAGTGCAAGTTTTTTGTCGTGATTTTCGATTTCAACTGCGGCTGGCGCACAGACATGCATTTTGGCAAAAAGGAAAAAATCAAATACTAAAACTAAACCAATTCATTTCGCAATCGGTCGACAACTGCTTGACGTTGCAGACGCATTCGGCTTGGAATTTGGCGATGGACATGTTGCCGATGACCTTCAAAACGCCACCGCCGACTGGATGGCAGTCATTCATTAGAGCAAAAGTTTCACATTTGGCAATATGTGGAACGTCTTTCGATGGCCTTTTCTCAGACACGGGCAAAAACAGACGACGACTTTTGCGATATGCGAGAATTGCGAAAAGTCGTTTTCAGTTTTCCCTCCAATCAGCTTGCCATCTTTTGTCTCCATCGTTTTGGAGCAATTAATTAAATTTCAGCAAATATGCGTACGTCCCCCATCATCAAGAGGCCCCCACCGCCCCACTGATCGGTCCAAGAAATATTGTTTTAATTGGCCGTCGCCGGTTGCCGCAATTTGTTGCCATGTCTTGCGCAAAATGCTGCAATTCAGGCAGTTCCCGCTATATGGCTGAGATCGAAATCGATCCAATCCAGCGTTGTGTGGGATCTTTTTTTTTTGAATATGGGCGGTTACCATATATCTGTGATTTATGCGTTATCAGTGCTCCAGATGGGCAGCTCATTTGCGAAGAGGATGTTGGATCTGAATATTCAGATTTCGCATACAATGGGCACTCATAAATTAAATAATAAAAATGATTATCTCTACCCTTAGGCTTATAACTTATAATGGCTTAATCTGTTTGATTTGGCAGTTAATTATTCCATTATTCATTATTTCTTTGAAAAATTGGATATTGCATAAATATTTGTTAAAGATTTATGTACAATTATCTTATATTATTATAAATGCCGTAGGTATTGTAATAATACGGTGGCAAAAAAGTTTAAATAAATGAATAAATTTTAAAATTAGTGATGTAGTCCACTTATATTTTTATATACTTCTTGCAATTTGTTATTAAAAAGCGAATTTCTTTTACATTTAATTACCATGCAGCCAATCTTGATCGGCATTCAGCGTTCTAGTTTGATCTAATTCGAAGTAATTAGACCCTTAGCTCGACATCAATTAAAGTTGATAGAGAAATCCGCTTTATAATTGTGAGCAGTTGCATAACCTAAAAGACAAGCCAAGTCAAGAGCAAAATTAATTTTAGCAAATGGGAATATGAACATGTACACATGTCGTATGAGCAACACCTACGACTGCAAGTGTGACTGTCGGGCAAACATTGAGCGACAGCCTCAAGAGCTCACAGCAAATATAATTTGTAACAAATTATGGTTGAAAATGGTAGAATTACGACGGCATGCAAGTGCGGTAAGTGCGGTGGGACCGAAGACCACGCCCCTTTTGATGGGTGCATGTGCTACTCAGAAAGCCGGGCGACCTTCAGGCAAAGCTATATCGATTCTTTGGCTAGGAACTGGTTCTGATTCGGTCCAGAAACGGATCGGCTCTCTTTTGTTTTTAAATCAAAGTCGAAGAAAATTAAATCAGAAATTAACAAGAACGGGTGACGACTTCTTATTAGAAAGTTGTTTCAGTTCCGTCTTTGCCCGTGATCGGCGTCCTTGAGACCGGGCCCCAGAGTGGCCCAGAGGGCTTTGGCCCCGCCACAAATTAAATAAAAATTTAAACGAAGCCGCAGAAGAACCGCATCCCGAAAATAAATTCGCTGATCTCTAATATATGGCACGCGTGCTTAGAAAAACTGTTTTAATTGCTCTCGTTTGGGTAATACTTAAAATGGCCCGAACCGGACTTTTGTTTGTTGCCTCTTCTCTGAAGTAAACAAATGCTAAACAGCCCTAAACTTAATTGATTCAATTCATCACACACAACTGAAACGTTTTAGAACCCAGGGATGTTTGAAAGTTGATATTTTGGTATTTGGCTGTGGAGGAAAAACCCTGCCGAGTTCGTTCACTCCTCGTAAAAAGTAGAAGTCCGACATTAAATATCAAGTGACTACTCTTCTTTAGTCGTCAGTCCTACGCAAGCTGCTAAAATTTACGACCGACTCTTAAATAAACCCGATCGCAGTGGAGAAGTGCACGTCATCTTTGGCTACCGATTACCCTGGTCGACCTTGCACGTGTCTCCATTCTTGTATCTTGTATCTTGTGTCTGGGCGCCGATCAGAGCTCATCTTTTAAGTGCTATTTACAACGGGTAATCGATTACCTTTTATGCTTGTCTGCTGGCGATATGCATGGCGTGACATTTCCTTCCGCCTCAATTAAAATCTGTTCATTTGGGTTATGTCAGTCCAGTTAACTGAAAAAGTGAGAGGATTTTTTGGCACAAGGAAGACTCGAAAATATTCATAAAATTCAATTAAAACTGTAATCTTGGTGAAGGCCTAATCATTATGATTTATTATTAAATTTTGGTTTAATTAAAAAGAATCCAAGGATGAGCCCCTTTCATGAAGTGGAATTACTTTTAAAATATGGATTTAATAAACCTTGTAAACCTTAAAGTCTTACATTTTTTCTAAACCAATCTGCTTGCAATTGTAAGCAAAATTATTATAATTTTCAAAAAGTATTTCCCTCTCAAATATAATAATTTTTTCTTTTCCTTCAGTTTTGATATAAAAAAACGATTTTAACAACGACACAATTTTTATTTACAAAATATTTATACAAAATATTGGACAACCAAGACAGCCAAAGAGAATTAGTTCCATCAGCCGGAAAATTACAAAGACCAGTTCAGTTAATTGTATACATTTTATTTTATTTGTCCTTAAGAGATTTTCACATACATATTTCTGTGGTTATCCATTCAATTCATTGCGCGGTGAAACCTTTAACTGATAAACGTGGCCAGCTAGGTTGTCCATAAATGGAAAAATCTACAAACAACTAGCTGGTGTTTATCCTAAACATTGAATTTCAAGCGACACAATGGCTTCCATTGGATGGCTGGATTGGAAATAATTTACAAAAGGCATTCTTGTTGCTGCGTCTTGGGTTCTTAACAACTACAGAGAGTGGCAGGGCGGAAGTGGAACTTCCTGGGCTATTTTTGTTGTGTTTCTTGGGTGGGAAGGGGAGGGGACAGGATTGAAAATTTTGCTAGATTTTCCTCGGCTTATTTCCAGAAAGTCCGCTCGCTCCAATGGAATCCCCGTCCGTCCGACCATCCAATCGTCCAACCATCCGCTTACTTGTGGTAACCGTGGTGGTCAGAGTAGACGGTGGCGTCATGTCCATAGCTGGTGGCCGGGTAGCTGCTGACCGGGTAGCTGCTGACGGCAACGGTGGGGGCGTGCTTCACCACGGAGTGCGAGACGACGGGCACCTTCACGTAGACGGGGTAGGGGCGGTCGACCTGGACGGGCACGGGCACCTTGACGGCCTTCTCCACGTACACGGGGTAGGGCTTGGCCACTGGCACGGGGTAGGGCTTGGGCACCTCAACGGGCACTGGGCGGTCGACGGGCACGTGGATTGGGACCTTCTCGTGACGGATCACTTCGTAGGGCTGGGGCACTGGCACGGGCACCTTCACGTACTCCTTGACGGTCACGGGCACCTTGCGGATCACCTCGTAGGGCTGGGGCACGGGAACCTTAACTTCGACGGGCACGCGCTTCTCATGAACCACTGGGTAGGGGCGGTCCACATGGACGGGCACTGGGATTCCCTTGGTGATGGTGATGGTCTTGTGGACATCGGCCTGCTTGCTGATCACATACGGGGCGGGAGCGTGGTGCACAGCGACGGCAGGGGCGGTGTGTCCGACAGCGATCGCGGGGCCGGAGTGACCCACGGCGATGGCGGCGGGCGCAGAGTGGCCAGTCAGTCCGTAACCGTGTCCGGCGATGGATCCGTGTCCCAGGTAGCCCACATCCAGACCGGCGTGTCCGTAGCCGTAGCCCAGGTCGAGCAGGCCGCGCTTGTCCAGCTTCTTCTCGAGGGGGACCTTCTCGCCCTCGGTTTTGCTGGCGCAGGCGGAGGCCACCAGCAGAGCGGCTAGGCAGATCTGAAACGGAATGGGGTGACGGGTTAAGAAAGGATATAAGCCAAGGACTTTTGTTGTAAAGGATATTTAGGATATTAATTTATTTAAATAACTAACAACTAGTAACTGTCGCATTCGGACAAGTTTCCCGATAACCTCTTTAAGTCGCCCTCTTTTATGTCCAAATTAATTCTGGCTAAAAACAAAGCACATTGCATAAGAAAACAGGCCAGCTTTTATGACCACTTGGCATCGTTTATCGATTACCTAATCGCATTAGAAAGTGAATTCGATATGACGCCCCATTCAGAGCTGTGTGTCGTCAGTTAACTCATCGCCCTCTTTCGCGATTCAAATGGTCAAGTGAAATTTGTTCGTGCCCCGCATAACCGATGCACTGCCGATCGCCACGCCTCTCATAGGCGTATAGCTTACGCCCTCCTTGGCAGGCATGACAAAATGCAGACTTTGCGTCACGTTACGCATGCGCAGTTGGCGTTTCTGCGAGTGCGTCCGGACTCCGGAGTCGGACTCAAGTGTGTGGTCGGATTTAATTGACCAAATGAACCGAGGGGATTGCGGCTGGCTATTAGACGTGCCCGGCACTCAAATTATGATCGTTCAGCTAAAAGAGGCTTATTAGCCAGTTGTTCAAGTTGAAGTTTGTCATTTGCAACCATTTCACCTGTGATGCATGCAATTTAACGGTTTGTTGTGATTTAGGAAGTGACTGGCAGATGGTAAACAACCTTTTTATTTGAATTGCAAAAGTACAGACAATAACAATTCTCAATATGTTTGAATCTCTAACAAATCTATGCTTTGGAAATCGAATTAGCAACATCTGGTATTGTTTTATATGTGGGATTCGACCATAATTGGATTGGAATGGCTCAATTCTTTCTAGAATTCCCACATTCGGATTAAACAATTTATACGTTCACAATATTTGCATATTAAGATCGATCTCTTGGGTTCTTTAATTCAATTTAATTATTACTATTGTACTTACGAATACTTTCATTGTGGAGACTACTGGAACTTGCCAAGGCTGCAAAAAACAAAGAATATTGAATTATTAATAATGTATCAGAATACGGTTACAAAAATAATTTTATTCATTTAAAACTTTCTAAAAAAAATTAAGTAACTCAACACGAACGTAACTGCGTGTAACTTTTCAACTTTTTATAAGCACTTTTACGTTTTAAAGACATTGTCTTTACACATGAATATTTATTTAAAAATAAACCTCAAGTTTGATCACTTACAAGCAACTTGGTAACAAGAAAATAAACTGTGGAAGGATTGTAGAATCACAAACGATTCCAAACCTTTGACTGGATGCTGTCTGTGGTCAGTGGCGCGCTTTTATACCCCCAAAGAGTTTTTGTGTCAAAACGAAACTGAAAACGCCACCGATCCAAGTCGCCAAGCGGTTTGAAAAGCTTTTCCGCTCGAAACGCTCTCTTCAAAGCTCCCAGGTTGCCACTGTATTGGTGGCTTGTGCTGGTGTTAGCGTTTAGCTCGGAAAGTTCCAAGCGGAAGCACCACCTCTACAAATGCAAAAGCCACCAACACCAACCCCTAGTCCGCTGCCGTTTGGCTGTGTGGGTGAAGTGATCCGCAGACTCATGAAATATGGGTGCCAATTCGATCAAATCCACTCGGAACCATAAAAGATGCACCATTAAATAAATTAACAACGACATCATATAAAATTTATTTTGGGAATATCCCAAAGAACTTCCCAAGCGTACATTCGCAAGACATTTTTGTATAGTTTGCTTTTAATGCAGATAAGCAGATAAAACAACTTAAGCATACTCTTCATTTGTTCCAGAAATATCGATCGACGAAAGGTCATATGTCTATCAGTACCATTGTGTTTTGTTTGTCAGGTTTCAGAAGTCGAAAGTTTGGTTCAAACTTGATTCTTGAAATCAATAAAATAAAATCACTAGATCGATATACGAATCATTTAAATATCTTTTGTGCTGATTCCATTAGCTTTATATTTATTCGCAAGACGGGATTGTTCTCGAATTGAGAGATATTAAATTGTCTTAATTTATTGTTTGTTTATCAACTGAGCATATGATTTGCTAATGAAACTATTCATCAAAAAACAAATGGAAAACTTTTTCTATAAATATTTTTTTATTTATTCAGATTTAATATAACATTTTGTTTTTACAATAAATAAATCTATAAATATGGACTTATTATGGCCATTTGATACTTGTTTTTATTAAACCATGTTGATTGAGGAAACGCGGGTGATGTCTCACTTTCAGGCATGCCCATTAGGTTTTCTGGTTTTATCGACACCCTCCAGCTTCTCAGGTTTCGCCTTTGAACTTCCTATAAAGTAAAGCTCAAAGCGGAAGTTGCATTGTTGGAATGCCTCGGCTCCTTTGATGTGAAAATGTCTCAATTTAAGAAAACTGATGCAACTGCAATGCATAACCGTGGTGGCGATGGCGGTGGTGTTGGTGGTCAGGACTCAAGTTTCGGATTGGAGTTCGATTATTGACAATGTTGCAAGCGCGACGGTCTTAGGCGGGCACCCCACTTGGTGGTGGTGGGAGACTCCAACCGGGATTGCAAATGGATCTGGCTGGGATCGGGTACCATGCGTGAGATCTCGGCACTCTGCCGCAAAAGTGAAAGGCCTTTATGGGTCGGCAGTGCAGTTTCAAAAGTGCGAGTGCGAGTGCGAGTAGTTGCATTCGCACAAAATCAGATTACATATCAGCGGGGCTGAGCCGTGATTTGGCAATTGCCAGCATAATTATTTGTTAATGCGCAAAATGAAACCTGTTGAATGTTGGACTCAGCTCCAGTCGCCCGACATCCGAAATGATATGCGTGCGCCTTGATTGACTAATCTTATTGTCTCACCCTGCCAGTCGGGAAAGATATTTGCATTTTCTATTGTCATTTCCAGATTCTACTTAAGCAATCCAACTCAAAACAAACATTTAGCGAGCGGTAAAAAAAACTGCTTTCCAAACTTCATCATGTTTTTGTCATTTGAATTTTGTTTGGGTTGATGTTGAACTAATAAAAACCCGGTGCTCAAGCTTTGTCTTAGTGGCAATAAACAAAAATATCGAGAATCTGATTCTTAACTATCAACTTAAATCTATTAGCTATGAACTCAGCTAAAAAACTAAACTATCAACTATCTACAAACATCTTGAAATATAAACTATTTGAATTATCTTAATAAAGTCGCTATTAATTGGCGTTATACATGAAGCTTGTCAAATATATTTGGGGCCATTAGAACACTTATAGGATTAAAACAGCTATATTCTATAAATATTCTTTGTCATATAAAGAGAATTATTAAGGCAATAATATGTTTTAGTGTAAGTAATTTAAAGATTCTGCTAGGAACAAATTTCTAATCAGAATCTATATAAATAGTTTATACTTGTTATATTTTTGTTTCTGAAAAAAGTGGTATAGTATTATAGAGCCCCTACATTATCGGTATATTTTCTTAGAGATCGGAAATTACCAATTTAAAGCTTTATTCGATAAACTAAGACTTCGTTGACAGGCCACTTTTACTTTGCAGAAAATGTGTCGTCTTCTATGTTTGGCCAAATGGAACCGAACCAAGCTAGGCAGACAGGCGGTTACATTTCCAGCCAATGCAGCTGCCGGCCCACAACAACGAACGCTACAATTCTGTCAGTCGGCGACGTTCGAGCCAACGTATCCAACAGATACGCCGTGTGGCGTCTTGTGGATGCTTTGGTGCATGCATCGGTTGCAACATCGAAGATCGAGCCCGCCTTTCCTGCGGCAAGTTGCATTTCGGCTCTGGTTTCAAAGCTGGTTGGCTCTTTTATTTGCTTCTTGGCCAGCACCGGTCGGATTCTCATGTTTGAAGTCGCCATAAATTGTGGTCAGCCGATGCGACGTAATTCATTGATTATAACGACAACAATAACTGCTGTCTGCCCCAGGCTCCCTTTCGGAAGGCCCCCTTTCTTACGGCCATGTGCATTTGCTGCATGCTGATTTATGGCCAATTGTTCCGAGTGTGTTAATGTTTGGATGTTGTGACTCCGGTGCACGCTGTTGTGGTCTGTTTTCTGGCGTTTGGCCTGGCGATTGGCTTCCAAATATTCCAAAGAGACCCAAAATTAGCCAAATATAATTAAGGCTTATTAGGGCCACAAGCCACTGGCAGTCGGCGGCGATCCCCACTCACTCACTCACTCACTGCTGTGGCATGCGATAATTCACACAATTGTAACGAAGCTGAAATGCAGCAAGTGACTTGCATTTCAAGTTGGGAAATGGCCTGGGAAATTTCTAAAAAAATATAAATAAGTTGCAATCTCTAGTAAAAAGATACGTTGGTTCAAAAGCGGATTTTCAAGAATAAATATTTACATGGCCTCCGAGAGGTTGAGCCTCCATCACAATAATATTACGAGTTTCCATTCGATTCAAGCCACAAAAATTTATAACTTTATGCTCAAAGCCCACCAAATCAAAACAAATAATGTAAAATGATAAAAATACAAAACAAGCTTAATAGCAACCATAACCACTTTTATGGCAATTCGAAAAGGAATTAGATCAAGTTCGCTGGCCCGAGTCTGGGTTGCCTCGAGTGAATTGTCTGGCGATTTGGATCGCTAGATTATTGATTTATGCGCACGGATCTGGCGGACCGCCAACTAAAGTGCTCTCGAATTAAATGCTAATTAGGTTCGAAAAGGCGGATCTAGAACAGCCAATAATGATATAATTAAGACTAGAATTACATGGAATTGTATTTTGTTTTCGCCGCAAATGTATTGGAATTGGGTTGCAAATGGTAGCGGAATCCGAGTCTGAGTCCGAATCCTAAACTGAAACTGAAACTGAAACTGAAAGTGCATTGTGCAACGCACTGAATCGCCGTCCACATAAACATCAATTTGAACTCTATTTATGGCCAAGACAAAAAACCGGACCGACTTCTCGAAGCTTGTCTGTCCGAGTTGGACTTGGACTGCATCCGCAAAGTTTCTGAACGAGAAGAGAAGGAAAAAAATACCGTCAAGCTAAAAAATAAAATAAAACTTGGCCATCTGAGTTAGATCCAAGTGGCGATCTTTAAAGGAAGCCGTTGGCCATTTGTTGTCGTGGCCGCCTGAGTTTGTTCAAGCCCCAAGTCGATGGCGCTTAAATGATTTGCTGTCCAGGAGAGCGGTGTGGTCAACAGGGCGTATGCCTAATGGACAGGCGGATTGGCTCCGCTTCGACATCGGGCCGGCCACGTTTTCTGCACACAGTTTTTTATTTTTTTGGCATTTTGACATATCAAGTGAAAAACTTAAACGATTTCCGACAAGTAACCAGTTTCTTGCTATAGTTTTCTTTATTTTGTTTTCCCAGCAAAGTACATTACAAATGCGCATACATTTTGAAAATATTTAAATAAATCTAGAGTCTTTTTTGGGAGCGGGAAGATTAATTAATGAGTAGCCAATGAAATCCATTTGTCAACGATCAGAATTTAAGATAATAGGAGCTGACGTTTGAGGTAACGAGGAAGTCATTATTTGGGAGTCAGAGCCTAATTAATGACTTTCACGTTCTTCTTGTTACATTACAAACTTGACCCGTTTACCTCTGATGAACATGCTCAACAAAGTCAAGGTCAGTGCCGAAAAAGAGAAACCCCAAAAAATGTGTAAGTCATAAAAAAGAGCCATCGTCCAAAGTAATTTTCGCTCCGCCAAGCAAAACAATAAGAAAAGGTATTTGCCATAACCGTAGCTACATTAACTGCAAATTACAGGGCACAATACTGCGAGCGTGTCTTGAGAGTATCCCCCGAAACGATTCAATGCATTCATGGACCCGTCAGTAGATCAGTCAGTCAACTGGTCAGTGGACATTGAACCACTTTCGGGGCATGGGTAGCAGCTAGCAGCTACTACGTGTAGTAGAAAACACACCAGCGGTCTGAACTCGATCCATCTGGAGGCAGTACAGCAGTGACCTCAACCAGTGACATTCACATCGGTTGGAAAAATTGAGTTGGAATTAAATTATAGCTGAAACTAGAAATCTATAAGTATACCATATGTGGATAACTCGAGTATGATCACTCAACAACCTATCCAATGGAAATTCATGGTTGCTTTCCTTGAGTCCGACGGAACCTCAGTCGCGTTGTGCAAGAAGTTTGTCTCTCAAGTCGTTTGATTGCCACCAGACAGAAGCCGAAATGTCAATTCCGATCAATTGCCTGCTTAGGGGAAGAAAATCATCGACAGTTCAACCGATTGGGCCGGTCGACAATTGGCCAAATGATTGGTTGGCGATGAAGCCCCGAAAACCGATCATTAGCAGCTATCGCATAAACGACATCGCTCATACGCCCCCCGGCAAAACTCAAATAGTTGGACTCGCTTTGTGGTCTCGGAAAATTAAAGATTTTTCGCATATTTTTCACTGCATCTGTGGGCCCGAGCACATGTTCCACGTCCGAGACGTTGAAAAGAATTTTCGCAACATTTAATTTTAGCACAATACGGCAGCAGCAGCAGTAGCACCACCACCAGCACCACAAGCTGCAACAAAAATTGGACTAATTGCCGACAATGTTGGCTCTGATTGACTGGACCAAGACTGCTAACCCCGTCGTCGTTTTGGTCTCGGACTGGCCGAGTATTTGATTGAATGATTGAACGAATGGCAACCGTGGAGGCACTGGCAGACACAGCTGCCTAATCCCTGTTATTGGGTCATGTCGCGTCGTCTCTGGGAAAATGTGGCGACGATGTGGCAATGTGGTAACCGCTGCCAAGTGCCAAAAACATAACACACCACACAGTCAGTCAGTAAGCCAGTAAGGCAGTAAGCCAGGCCAAGTTGGTGCCTTAGCTTTGCTGATGCACTTAACGGCGCTCTGGCACGTTGTTTCCACGTCTTGGGAGTCTAGCAGCCGTGATCGAACATTGTGAAAAGTGAGCATTAAAAATACAATTTTTTCGTAGCCCAGCTTGCAACATTCTCGATGGTAAACGGAGGAATGTGTGAAGCTGGGAATCGAGTAGACTGAGGTCGTGGTTCAACGCCTCAACAAGATCAGCTGGGAATCCCCCTCGCGGAAGGCCAGAAACAAAAGCTCAGCCGGCTCTTTCCTTTCATTTAGGAAGAAACCAAAGTAAACAAAAAAACGATCGAAAACCATTAGTTGAACTTGTTCTTGACGCTCAGCTGGTTATTAGTTATTTATGCTAAAAAAATCCCCGAAAATCTGCTAAGCTATTGCATAATTACTATAAATCACTACAGCGATGAGTTTGCAAAACTTCTAAAATAGTTTCTTGTGAATTTTAATATTATATTTAGACTTTTGGGAATAAAACTACCATATACTCGGCTGAGGGATAAGCCAATACGAGTTATCGCTTGAATAATCGCTACTTGATTGCCCAGCCGTCGCAGTAAAAATAAAAATACAATAAAAATGCCATAAACATAAATGTGATTAAATGAGCATAAAGCAAACGGCAATTACAAGACCACAAAACTTGACTTTTGCATGATTTCGAAACTGCAAGAGAACGACTTGGTTGTCCGCCGCTTTGATTTGCTTCAGTTTAAGGCTTCAACTGGAGCTCGACCTTGAGCCAGAATGCAAAACGAGTAGTACCCAGTCCCAACCAGCACTAGCGACACGAGCTGACTCAGCTCCGCCACTCTCACTCGAGTCTATTGACAATTTTTACACTGGCCAAGAAGCGTGACCGCTGAGCCAGTCTTAGCCTCATTTGATTAATCGTATTAAAGCCATATTTCCGTTCGCTTGCAGGTACTTTTTCTCCACGGTGCTGCAATTCCAGATCTATAGAGCCATGTGCCGGGAGGCAGGGCAGTATGTCCCGGGCGATCCCAGGAAGCCGTTGCACAAGTGCGACATCTATCGTCAGCCGGCAGCAGGAAATATACTCAAGTAGGTCTAACAACTCTATCCAAAAGTTCATAATTAAGCTTACCTCTTTCCCATCTTGCAGAAAACTCATGTCCAAGGGCGCCTCCCAGCCATGGCAAGAGGTCCTCGAGGAGACCTTACAGGAGGGACGACTGGACGGGTCTGCCCTGCGGGAGTACTTCGCCCCTCTGGAGGAGTGGCTGCGGCAGGAGAATCTTCGCACCAATGAGTACGTCGGATGGAACTACGATGGCGATTATTGCAAACGGAGCATCGAAACCGCTGGCCTCCAAGTTTTCGGAGGCTACTACAACAGTGCCCAGGAAATGGGCCTATCCCTGCATCTGTTGGTCCTTTCGATCTGCTTTTATTTTAGTTTTAATTTTTGAAAAGTATCAGAACCTAATCAAGCCAAGAAAACAGTCAGTCCAAATGTTGTTCCACTTACTACTTCCGCTTACTCAAGTTGCACCTATAACCGAGTTGAACTTGAATCAATGCCAAAAAATACACACACACAATTCTAAAATTAAATAAACGAATACTAAATAACAACAAAAGCTGAAATGCAAATCTGACAAATTGCCCGACTGGCGGCACCCTAAAAATTGCAAAAGTAAATTTTTGGGGAGTACTCGAATAGAGGATACCTAAGAATGAGTATTAAAGGGTGAAATTTCGGTAAGAATACTTTTTAGAATTTTTATTTATTTTAACTTAGTCACTACCTTAATTATTTAAACTTTTAAGTAGTTCTTAAAAATTCTAGAAGGCACTAGGATTTTAGTTACCTTTTGAGCGAAACCAGTACCCAAATGAGCGGCGAATGGGGCGGGTTTTGGACAGCTGTGTGCAACCCATGCGGGTCATTGGAACTCCAGCGTCGCACGCACATTGCTCACTCATTTGTTGTCTGCCACACCGATGTTGTTGCTTACAATTTAATAAAATAAAATAAACTCGCAGAGCTGCTGCAGTTCCATAGTTGTGCTTTTGTTTTTTCCTTTATGACTTTTTTTGCTGCAGCTGCCGCCCCTGCTGCGGTGGCCGATGGCGGAGTACCCAACTGGTTTTATTATAATTTTTTTTGTGTGTAAATTGTATTTAATAAATTGCAGCCACCACGACAGCAACTACGTCTTCAGTGTAAACAAGACAATCAGCACTTGCGTGGGTTGGGGGTGGTGTCCGGTCATCGCAGTGTCATTGTTTTAAGGTTTGTCTAAGAAATGAGACACTTTATCTAAGTGAGCTGGTGGAGCTTGAGTGAAGAAGACCATTGGATTTCTGCATATTTACAATCAACTTGAGAGACGAAGTTATGCTGCGATATAAATGCTTAAAGTCCAGATAAGTGGGTAATATGATTAATAATATTAGACTAACTGACGGGTGTCGACGATAAACGATATTAATGTTTGTCATATTATACGTGGGAATTGTCAGCTCTAAGTATTATATTTATTTTTGAAACAAAACATTTTAAGATCAACGAGTTCTTGGTTGGCGATTGCGCATTGCAATTCTCAATAAAAACAATCTGGTTTTTGCGCCGCAATGACAGCCCCAGAGCAACATGTTAAGGACATGATCAACATTTCAATTAGATGCAATCATCGCCCTCGTTGGGTGAGATTGCTCTGGGGAGTTGAGTTTCGTTCACTTGCAGTGGAGACTTTCCGTGTGTCTGTCTGTGTGCTTTACATTTCACTTTCGCTTTGTAGAATTCAGTGCACAGTGCGTGCTTCCGCTCTCCGATCTCAAGTCCCCCTCCATCCCGGTCGGCCTTTATTAGCTCGACGGCAATTTGCAATGACAACTGTATTTTGTTGTTGTTATTAAAGTGATTTTGTTTTTGTTTTTTTTTTTTCGAAAAGGAACATTCGGGTGAGTAACGGAATCACCGCCAAATGGGAAACAGTTTTCACGAGACTCGCGATCCAAGCGTACACGCAGCGGAAATCAAGCGCTGCCCAATCTTGACGGAAAAGAACCTAAGGAGAAAGTGTCTCTTTATAAAAAAATACTTTTTAAAATTATTAATCAATATAGTACACAAACAAATTTTATCCTAAAAGATATATCAATTTTTGAGTGATTTGTTAAGAACTTTTAGCCTCGAATGTGAAGCCTAGTAATTGTAAAAATATAGTATGAAGTGACAAAAAAAAAACCAAAAAAAATAATAAAGTTAAAATAAGAAAAATAATAATAATGTCAAAAGGATGGTCTAAGTACCTAGTCCTGTGGCTGGCTATATGGCTGCCACAGGGATCCAGCCAGAATAGCAGCCTGCGGGTCAACACAAATGTCAAGGACATCGAGGCGGGCGCCAGAACCTTGGCTTCGATCCAGGGGCCAGGAAATATTTGCATACGCGAGGAGCCCTACGTCGAGCAGATCCAGATCCCGGAGATGCAGCCCGTGCGCGTGCGCACCTCCAGCTGGTGCATGGAGATCCCGCCAAGGTGCGCCACATACAAGACGGAAATGCGCGAGGTGATGCGAGTCCAGGTGAGTTTGCCAAATGGTCGCCCTGCTAAATGGTCGCAGGTGTTCCGCTGCCGGCTCTGCCTTTGCGGGAGTCCGTTACGTCACTGCCATCTAGTGGCAACACCTTCGCAGTGGGCATTTGGGGCCGTATCCACCATCTTGGGGAGCCTGCGCCACAAACCTGATTTCGATTTGCCCAACCAGGAAGCCGCTCACCAGGCTACCCATAAATTGGCCCGATTCGATGGAAGCCTTTGATTGCTTTTCCCGTACATATCGTTCGTTTTATGGGTTCTGTCGCTAAAAAAATAGCAACATTGTGCAATTCTTGCAGTGCTGAGACTTATTTCCTCCCCTTCTGCAATGGAGAACGGAAGTCGTTCGAGTTTCATTTTTTTTTTGACTTCATTCAACTTTGATTCATACGACCGGTTTTGACCCGAAACATCTCTGTTCAAAAGTGCCAGCACTTAGTGTCCTTGGCTGCTAAACTTCTGAACTGCTGGGCACCTGTGGCGTATACGTATTTTCTATGAAGTATCTAAGCGACTGGGGATTACCCTTAAAGCTATGATTCAAATAATTATTTTTCAATGAAAGGTGAAGAAAATATATAATAATCGGGGTATGCGAGGATGTACAGATTGTTCTGCAATATTTTTTTAAACAACAATGAAGCTTTTCGAAAATTTTGAAGAAGATTAATTATGAACATGTTTGATTTTCCGCCAATAAACAGTAATTAATTTTAGGAAATTCTTCGCAAAACCATTTAAAAACCAGCCATACCCGCCACGATCAGTTCAAGCTGCGCAGAGGGAAAAGCGAGAAAAACAACCGCAGTGGCCAAGTGTTGACCAAGCACGGCCAGAATCCGGTTGCAGCCGTTTGCTCCGAGGGGTCTAATCAGGCTCGGCTGGTTTGGTTTTTGTTTCAATTTTTTGCGCTCAGCTTATTTATTTATTTTGCCAGTTTTCGGCGAATGGGGGGTAGGTAGAAATAATTATGTCATGGTGTCAGTGATGGAAAGTGCAAATGAAAAGCGGAAAATCCAGCACTTTTGGCCGCCTGGCCTGCCTAGGTTGGATAGGCTGGATCGGACCGATCAGCGGCATTAAGAGCTCCACTTGTGCGCGGCGACTTGATGCCAAAGCTGTTGACACACTTTCGATTGCATCACTAAACAGTTGCAAGTTGCAAGTGGCTAGCGTCGCCATAGCCATCGCCATCGTCGTGACAAGAGGCAGCCAGTTTTGGCTTAGTTTATATATTTTTTCTCTCGGTTTCGTGTCTAATGATTTGTGCGAGTCGAGATCTGCTTAGTTTGTTGCCTGGCTCGAATTAATTTCATAATTATTTTAATTGGAGCTCTTGGGTCTCCTGTGTGCTCTGTGACAAGGTGTTTGGGGAGAATCGCTTTATAATGGGTTGCACCCCAAAAGCATATTTCGCCACAAGTCGCAAATATATTCCAACCCTGCAACATTGTTTTTGGCCTACATTCCTGGCGATTTTTGCAAACGCCTCTGAGTCTGAATTTCTTGGCCAACACTTGCTTATGGTTTTTGGTCAGAAATGCTGCCCCTAATTCGCCAATTTCGTTTAATTAATTAACATGAACATGATCGCAAGAAGAAGTTTGGGCCAGAGTGGGCAAACACGTTTAAGTCAATCTATGTTTGAAAATGCAGTAGCTTTAGCCACAAAGTGCGGAAAGATTTTCGACAGATTTTCGAAATTATATAAAGAGAATATGTCACTGCAGCTGATTGATGGACACCACCCAACCACAGAGCCAGGCTCGAGTGGATCGTGTTCAAAAATTACTCAACTTGTATTCAATTACTATTTGTGACCAACGTTTGAAAAGCCATCCATAATTATGCAGACACAATGAATCAGAAGCACAAACTCGAATCGAATTTCACTGTTTATATTAAAATTTCCGCCTTTTTCATTCGTGTGGGCCCTGCTCATTTGTATGAATGCTGGTAGATTCACATACAGATACAGAGTTATCCAGATACAAATTCATCAACATCAGCATCGGGCACAGGGCTGAACAATGCGTAAGTCAGGAAATGAAATGGGACTGGGACCCAATCTCTGCAAATAAGTGTGTGAAGCTGGAATGGCATTCAGTTATCCACTTAAATTGGCAACTCAAGGGGTGTGTGTAATTCCAAGGCAGTGCCCTTTGTCCAACGACTCACAATATTCTTCGGCTTAATTCTGTAACTGTCAAGATCTGGTCCATAGTCCACTGCCTTCCAGGGGCAATCGTATGTCACAGAGGCGTTGACAGTCATAATCGAGGGCTCTTGACAAGTTTATCCAATTAACGAACTCTCACAGCGAATCTCATCCCTCTTCAGACTTAAACATCAAAGATTTCTTCACGGAAATGGAAATTTGTATGAAAATGTAACATATCTTTGGGCGCACTATTTCAATTGTTATGAATGTGGCATACTTTTTGCGTGTAAGCTTTTTCATAATTTACATTTTTTTTTAGAAACTAAACAAAACTCGGACTGTTCGTTTCTGCTGCCAAGGCTACGAGGGAAACCTCTCCGACAACCAGGCCACCTGCAAGCCCATCTGCCGAGGAGGATGTGGGCGCGGCAGTTGCGTTATGCCGGAAATCTGCAGCTGCGAAGAGGGATATATAGGAAAGCACTGCACTCAGCGTAGGTTGTCTGTACATGTTTACTTTTCTTAAGATTAAATATTTTCACTTTAAGGCTGTGACCACGATCGCTGGGGGTTGGATTGCAAGAATATTTGCCAGTGCCAGAATGGAGCTGCCTGCGACAATAAATCTGGGATATGCCACTGCCTGGCTGGTTGGGCAGGGCAATTGTAAGTTGGAGTACTACCTTACTACCATAAACTTATTTTCCCACAACTGGTTGCAGCTGCGAGCAGCCTTGCCCCCAAGGAACACATGGCATTATGTGCCGCAAGGCTTGTGATTGTGACGAAAAGCCATGCAACCCGCAGACCGGAGCCTGCATCCTGCACGATCACCAGCCAGAGTTGAATGTCAGCCACGTTATCGTGGAAACGGTCAACTCCACCCTGGAAAAGATGGGCATTATTCCGCGTCCCGTCACCCCCAGTCCCCTCCCAGAAGTCATTGTAATCAAGCAGCCTGCGGGTCAGGAAAGTGGTCATCACACGCCCAAGATTATTGTCCATCAGTCCGGCAGCGAACTCCTTGAGAATCTTCACTCTTCTGCTCCCGGTATACCGGCTCCAGAGGTCATCCACGTCATTACCAACGGGATTACCTCGCCGCAGGAGCATCTGGCCGGATTCTCCGGATTGGATTCCAACACCAGCCAATCAGGAGCAGCGAATTCCCAAACGGGGGTGGTGACCACACTGGTGGTCATCATGCTATTCCTACTCTTTGCCATTGCAGCTGGCGCGTTGTATGTGTACCGGAGGTATCATCACAAGGACTCTGCGGTTTATAATTCCAATGGAGTAGTGAAGACGCAGTCCTTAAACCCGGAGGTCGTCCTTACCGAGGCCTCAGCACTTGGGAAGAATTTCCACGAGCCCCTGCCGGAGCCGCCCATAATATTCGCGGTTTCCCCGCAGTCAAACGAGGGTATGTAAGTGTCTCCATTGACCGTAAAATATCTGGTAGCTCGATGTGCAGTAATAAGATTAATACGTAGCCATTTTCAACAGCTCCAGCTGAACTGTACGACACGCCGAGCAATAACTCATCAATAAAAACACCGCCCTACGCCTATGCCAGGAAGGAGTCCCTCTACTCGGTGATCACGCCCAAGTCTCGCAAGGGCAGCCTGGACTCACACCTGTACGATGAGATCCGCTACCACCAGCAGCACCACCATCAGCACCACCAACCGCACCAGCAACGAAACCACCAAGGTCAGCACTCCGCCACGGCTTCCGCCTTTCTGCCAGCCAGGCCGCCTTCGATGCCAATGGTTGAACAATTTGCCGGCGGAAACCACCAGTCCCACCAACGATCCCACCACGTTACCCACTTGATCATACCGCCCCAGAATGCCAATTTCCTCCAGGTGCCGGCCCAAATTACTGCCAAGCGAATAGCCCATCTGTGAGGAACGGTTGGAACATTTTCGATAATCTTATAATGTTTCTATCAGTACGATATGGTTCCCTGTAGGTTCCATTATTCCAACTTGATGAAGTGTACAAATCTTTAATATTTTGCAATGAAGCACAATAAAACATATTTAATATACTAAAGTTTTATAAAATCTCTTTACATAAATTTTCCAAAACTATCAAGTATTTTTAAGTTCTATATTTATAAAAGCTTACAAGCTAGAATAAAGTATGTAAATATAAGGTATATTTCATATGATATTTATAGATATAGCATGAAAAATAAAAACCTTAAAAATAAATAAAATAAAGACCGTATTATTTAAATATTAAAGGATGAGCGATGGTTGTATTTATAAAACAGGAACAATCCAAATAACAGAAAACTTAAAACGAGAACTATTAGTCCGATTGTAGATGTCGGCGACACCTTGTGTTTTTTTTCGCATTTGTTGCAGGTTTTGGTGTTTTGGGTATTGTTGAGGGAGCTATTTTTGGCAATTTCCATTTCATTGAACTGGAACAAATCCCTTGTTATTCTTGAAGTATTGGCGCTGTTTCGCTCATGAATCAATATGTTTTCTGTTAAGTTTATGTTCTTCCCATTCGGCTGAGAGGCCGCAAAGAAAATAATTTGTAAGTTTATATTGTACCACACCAAAAAATGACAGAAATTCATTTTTTAAAAAAACTGTAAGCGTGTTGGCTTGCTGAAAGCTGGACATGAACTGGAGAACTGAAAGTTAATTGTCGTGAGCAGTATCCCACAAACAGCCTCTAGGGTCTCCTTTTATTCCCTCAAGTGAAGTGGTATATTAAGCTTATACTTTGCTTACCATTTTATTATTTGAATAAAAGTTATTTAGTTATTTTATTAAAAGTCAGAAAAACAAAAATTTTAAGGGAAAACCCCCAAAGTCCAGCTTATCATTTCAATCACAGCAATAATAATTTTAGCAAAATAAGCTTTCAGGTTTAAGACTTAGGTCAGGGACGGTGTTTTTATATGAAAACTTAACCCTTTATTAACTGTATTAAAGATGTGATGCAGTATAACTCTTCTCTAAAAATGCACAACTCTCTTGAGTATTTCGGGATCGTTTTTCGAGAACGAGTGATGCTGGGCCTGATAAGACCGCAAAATATAATTCCAGTCCCAAGACAGCTCGCTCATTCGCGCCACGACTTCGAAGCGGGAAACTATTATTAAAACGACATGCATTTCTGTGGACCGTCTCCGGCTGTGCTGATTGCGCTGCTCGAACTGGTGGCGGTCCCAGCTCTCATTGAGGCAGAGTCGACGGAACTCTTTGGAGATATTTCCAGTGCCGGAGAGTTCGAGTCGCTTAGCTTAACCCGCGAACGGCAGCAGCATCTTTGCCAACGGGAGGTGCCGTAAGTAAAATGGAACTCTGTGCTTCCAAATTCGATTTGTTGATTTTAACTTTATCTAGTGTTGTGTTCTTCCAAACGGACAAGGACTTGGTGCCTCGAGGCAATGGCTCCTCCATTTTCTACCACCGCATAGAGGTCTGCTGCACGGGATATCGAAGGGATACGTACTCCAAGGACTGTATTCCGGACTGCTCCCAAAGTTCGCCAGACAACTGCCGGAATGGCTTCTGCCGGAGTCCGGAGAACTGCGAGTGCTTTCCGGACTTTGTGCGCAACGAGTTTGGCGCCTGCATCCACACCTGTCCGATTGCATGCCAGCACGGTCGATGCTACCTAAACGGCACCTGTGCCTGCCACCGGGGCTTCGCCCTCGACCAGGAGACCCGACTCTTCTGCCGCCCGCAGTGCTCCAAAGCCTGCGGCACGCACGAGGCGTGTGTGGCTCCGGAGGAGTGCGAATGTGCTCCTGGATACAGACGCACCACAGATCTGGGATGTCAACCGGTCTGCGCCCCGGACTGCGGGTACGGCAAGTGCATCGCCCCCAATCAGTGCGAGTGCTTTGCTGGCTTCATAAAGCGGCCCCAGCGCAATGTTTGCGAGGCAGAGTGCTACATGTATGTATAGACGGTTTGGGAAGGACTGACTTTGTAACGATCCGGCTTATTCCCCAGAAATTGTGAGAACGGCTTCTGTGAGTCGCGGTACAAGTGCCAGTGCAGGGAGGGCTATCGGTACGACCTAAACACCACCAGCTGTTTGCCGGAGTGCACTGAAAACTGTGGCCATGGAAACGGAGTTTGTGTCGCACCCGGAGTGTGCCGCTGCTTTGAGGGATACGAGGCCCATGGCTCGGAGTGCCGCCCCAAGTGCGACAGGTTTGTGAATTATGCTCCTGATTCCAATATATTTATTTTATTTGATGCAGGTCCTGCGGCAAATACGGACGCTGCCTGGCTCCAAACATATGCGGTTGTGAACACACAGGGCAGCATTGCCTGAATGGGCAGTGTGAATCAGGAGACCACTGCCAGTGTCCTTCGGGAGAGACGCACTTTGTGGACCGGTGTTTGGGACCAAACCAACTGAACCTTCAGTTGTCCACTGACGAAAAACGAAAGCACTTCAACCTACAGTTGGGTCACGAATTTAATGCTCTGATCGGACGCCTCTTTAATCTTGTTTAAAAAAATTATTAAATTATGATTAATATTTGATTTTAATTCATGAATTAGAGGGCCTGGCAGGTCTGGCGACCCTTGATGCCGCTCTTGATGAAGCCGGGGCGGCAGATGCAGAAGTTGGGGGCACTGCAGAATCCATTTTGGCATCCCAGAGGACAGTGGGGCTGGCAGATGTTCCGCTGAATAGTGTCCTTGATGTAGCCGGGCTTACACTCGCACTGGTTGTTTCCCACACAGATGCCATTGAGGCAGGGAATGTCACACTTTGGCTGGCACTCGGCGGTCTTACGATCCCACTCAAAGCCGATGGCGCACTCGCACACATCCGGGCCAATGCAGCGTCCGTTTTTGCAGGGTCTGGTTCGGGGATACAGATTGTATTATTTTGGACCACAGTAATCTTAAGATCAAGCCACTTACATGGTGCACACGGCCTCGCAGCGTCCATCTACTTTTTGGTAGCCCGTGTTGCAGCTGCACTGACCGGGGGCAGTGCACTTTCCGTTCTCGCAGCTGTCGCACACCGGTTCGCAGCTCCCGTCCGCCGCCTGGCGGTATCCCTGCAAGCAGGCACACTTGTTGGGGGCCACACAGTGACCGAAGGCGCAGCCTGGCTTGCACTCCGGCTGGCAGTACTTGCGGGTCAGCGGCTCCAGGACGTATCCCTCGCGACACCGGCACTCGTTCTGTTCGTCGCACACCCCGTTGCCACAGCCCAGAGGGCAGGTGGAGATGCACTTTCCCTCGGTAGTTCGGACATGCCCTGGAATGCAGACGCAGGTGTTCGGAGCCGTGCAGATCCCGTTGGGGCAGTCGTCGGCGCAGATGGGCTCGCATCGGCGGTAGATGTGGGGATTCCGTTCGTAGCCATCGCAGCACACCTCGATGCGACTCATGTCGGGAGTGGTGCCGTTGCCGACGAACTTGTCTCGGGAGTTGCGCAGAAGGGAGGCGGTGCTGCGTAATGAAAAGTTTATAGTAAGTACTCCACAGTCCTTGTATATTGTTTCCATATTATATAATTATGATATATTTTTTATTCTATATGTACTATTTCAGAACTGAATTATCGCAAACCTCAGCTTAAGGCCACGAAACTTATCGGAAAACTGCACAAACATATGTATATGTTTTTAACATGACGCACTTAATTATCAGCCCAGTGGAGGATGTCGAGGTCGTAAGTTCCCTAATTTCATTGCTGGCTTGTTTTCGACTGCTTACCGATTCGGGCGATAATTTTTGAATGGAACTATTAAAGTGTTTGTTGAGGTACTTACGGAACTTCCTTGAAGCAGATGCCACTGGCCATGGCCGAGCGGGTTTTGTTGATGAACAGAGCCGTTTCATCCAAAATCTGAGGGGCACGGGTAGCTGGCGGATTAATCGGCTGGACATAGTGGCCGTAGAGAGGCGGCAGGGTGGAGGGATTGTAGGTTTCCGCTGGCACGAAACCAGCCGATCCCTGACCAATGTGATTCTGGGACTGCCAGTTGTAGGAGCTTTGGTTTTGTTGGTTCCAACCGTAGCTGGTCTGGTTGTAGCTGCTCCACCCATATTCACTGGAATTCCCGGATAGCTGGAGATTGCCGGACGGCGGCTGGCGGGTCTTAATGCCAGCCGTCTTGAACTGGCCCTGACCGTAGGCACAGATGGCCATCAGAACCGCGAGAATGAGCACCTGACTCGATGATCTCATGCTGATGATGTCGCTGGATTACGGATTACTTTTGAAAATTAAGTTGCGCCCACGCTCACGTCTGCTGGCGGTTGCGGTTGCACTTCGACTAATCGACTGGCAATGAATGGGAAGCTGTGGATCTCTCGGTCGCAAATCGCCTCCGGCGACCTCTTGCCCCGCCCCTAATCAGCACCCCGCCGATGTATCAATGAGGGCTCCGCTCTCAGTAGCTCCAAGGCAGAAAGCAATTGATAATTTCTATTTGTGGTCAGTCGTAAATAAACAAACATTTTTAAATGCCAAATGGGTATTTCCAAGAAAAGCTTAGCAAATCTCGATGTGTTCAGGTACGCATGTGGCGCTAATTTCAAAACTTATGTAGGTGTATATCTCGATCATATTTCATTTATTGAAGTAAATTACATTATCCTACACTTTCTGTCTCTCCAGATATATCCCGGCGCACACTCGCACCGATCAGGGGAGTAGCACAGCCCATTCGTGCAGTCCTCTTCGCAAATAGGCACGCATTTTAGATTGCTAGAAGTCCCCTCGTTTAGGTACCCATTGCAGCAGTACGAGAACTGCCGTCGTCTAGAGTCCGGATTGATTGCCATCACCCTGTTTCGAAGAAGAATTGTAAGTTTTTAAACTTGCATCTGTTAAAATTCCATTATGGCGCTTACTCCTTTTCGTCGTAACAAATTCCAGATGGCCGGGTGGCCAAGGTTTCACTAAACCATTGGTCTTCAACGGATTTTCTCCAAAACTGGCCCACGGCTGGAGGAGGCGGTTTGATGAGGCAGGCCAGGCAGAGCAGAAGAAGGCTACCCACAGTGGAAGTCAAGTGCATGTTTTCTCAGTGTCTGGAATTACGAACGAGGTCGGGAGAAAACACGAGCCGAGGCCGGACAACGTCTGTGATCTACTAAATTGTCGTCTGACTCAGGCTGGCTCCGAGTCTATGAAGAAAGAAATTGTCTGAATAGAGGGTATTTCGCTGACACTGGGGAAAATATATATATAGATTTATCAATACATTATAATTTTTAAAAAATTCCACAAGAATATTATAATAATATATGTTTTTAATATTAATAAGTATATTTTTTTTATAGTTTAGTTGTCTTAACTCTTCAGATTTTAAGAGAAAATAGAGTAAGCACCAGTTGCATTTCATTCTTCCCTCCCCCAGATATGAAGACGAATATTAGCCTTCAGCTGACCCATTGATAAGCCCACAAAGATTGAGAAAAGTTTCAGTATTTATTAGAGTGTTTTCTTTGTGACTGTGACTGTGGAAGTGGGCGACAAAGCTGGCTGCTTATCTCAAAGCCACCACATGGAACTGTGCACGTTTTCGGAGCCGCCCAATCTGAAATGTCTGCCCAGGAGCAGGTCGAATTCATGGATCAGGGAAGTGTTTACCCGGACGGGGTTCATAGAGGCGTAGGTGGTGACCGTGTCCGGCGACATGCACTTGTCAATGAACCTCGTCTTGCCGGGCTCACATCGACAGCGTCCCTGGGAGTCGCACAGTCCGAACTCACATCTCTGGTGGGTTCGGTCCGGTCCAGGGACCACGGCACATCCGCACGTATTGGGAGCGATGCATTTCCCGTAGAAGCCACAACCGCGATCGCAAACAGCCTCGCACTTCTCCCGATTCCGGACGTATCCGTTGAAACAACGACAGTTTCCGGGCGTAATGCATATTCCGTTATCGCAAAAGTCCCCACAATCCGGCAGGCAGCTGGTGGTGTTATCGTCGTAGCGATATCCATTTTGGCAAACGCACGTCGTCAGATTGGCACAAAAGCCGTTTTCACAACGCCTGGAAAGTTTTTTATATTTAGCAAAGTGTATAAACATTTTGGATGATAACCAAAGCAACTAGCTAATGTCTTTAGAAGAATGAATTAGAAAGCTAACATTGTATACCCACATGTAGCAATTGATTTCGCAGGAGGTGCCGTTGTCGCGCTTTTGGAATCCCGGGAAGCATTCGCATTTATTGGGACCCACGCAGTGGCCGTATCCACAGTCCGGTATGCAAACGGGCTGGCACCCCAAGGCCGAGGACTCACGGAGGCCCCGGGCATAGCCCTCGGCGCACTCACACTTTCCCGGCTCCAGGCAGACCTCGTTGTGGCCACAGGTGGAGTTGCACTGTGGCTGGCAGAAGCGACGCGATCCGTCCAGCTCGTATCCCTGGTCGCAAAGGCAGGTGCCGTTGAGGAAACACCGTCCGTGGGGACATCCCAAAGGACATGTCGGCACACAGTTGTTGCGGTAATTCAGAACGAAGTCGGTGAAGCACTGGCAAATGCCGCCGGCCAGACAGAATCCGTTCTCTTGGCAGCGGTCGCCGCAGTCGGGGACGCACTTGCTCCAGTCGTACTCGTAGCGCCTCCAACCTTTGCAACATACCTCGATTACGTTAAAATAGCGATTCGTGGTGCTGTTGCCCACTATTTTGACCTCCTTGTCGTACTGGAAGAACACGGCGCTGAAAGGGACATAAATTAAAGGGTTCATTGAATTCGCCTATTTTTAAATTTTTCTAAATGTTATTCATATTTTTAAGCTTCCCACTAGTATCGTATTTAACATTATTTTTATGGAGTTTCTGAAAAGCGTTTCATAATAACCCTTCCACATATGCAAATATTTGTTTGAAAACTTCAAACTTTTTCTCAATGCCCACACTTACGGCACTTCCCGGAAACACTTGTCCGGATGCTCTCCCCGCCTTGGCAGTGACAGGCCGTGCGGAATGATGTACGGCTTTCGGGTGGTGGACGTGGAGGAGAGGCGGCTCTGCTGAATGACTATCTCCCGCTGCAGCTCCCGCTGGCGCTGCTCCTCTCGCAACCTCAGTTGCTCGTCGATCTGGTGCTGTAACTGCTGCTCGTGGAGCTGCAGCTCCAGGGCGTGGAGCCAGCAGGCGAACAGGATCAGCAGTCCGACGTGGATGACCAGTTTGCGCAACAGTGGCGACATCTCCGGATGGGAACGATCTGGGTTGGGTTGTGGTACCGAAGCGCTCAAGTTGTGATTGTTTACTGGGCTGGCGGCGACGACGCAGTTGGGTCAGCCTTTAATCGCCGTCGGAGCCTAAGATAAGAGGACTGGGCTTTTAATTGAATACGCGGAGAGGTCCACAAGTATGTCAAGTGGGAGAACGATCCACATTATGTTTTATTGCTAATTGCATTTAGAAATGGATCTTAAAGTATTTTTCATTCAAACGGAAATCGCACGTCGCCGTTTCCTGGGATGTTTTCCGTCTCTCTGCAGTCGACGCTTCAAAAAACTTTGAGCTAAGTTTGCTCGAATGTTTTAAGAGCTTTGAAATACTTATGAATTGATAAGAATTTGAGGCAGGCAACTCGCCTAACTCGCACTATATTAGTATAATTTTAGCAAGCTAATTGTGAACACGACTCAAAACAAATTACAAATGGGTCTATGTGAGCTGAGCATTTGCTTCAGTATTTTGAAACTGATTTTGCATCTTCCTTGCACCACTGCGTATTTTCCTAACTATCAGGAATACGACCCCGCCCAGCGATATGGCCCCGGGGCTCGGAGACCCGTTGGTCATGATCAAAGCCCATACGGTCGCGGCTACGTGGACAACCGACAGAATTCGTACAATCGACCCGAAGGTGTTAACTTTGAAGACTCCAGACTATTGGATGAGCAGCCAAAGAGTCGTCAATACTTAATCCGCGAACATGAAACTTTGTCCGACAAACAGACTCACAAGTGCCGCTTTTGGGTGCCGTAAGTAACCGATTGAGTTTTAGACTTTATCTTAATGTATAAATATTATTTAAGACCGGAGGTCATCGACAAGTATCCCAACGCAACCATCACCCAGGTGGACAACAAAAACCGGCTGTCGATGATAGAGGCCTGCTGTACGGGCTACTCGACTATCCGACTCTTGGGGGTGACCGTTTGTCGACCCAAGTGCGGGTGCCAGAACGGGAGCTGTCGGGCGCCTGGGGAGTGTGAGTGCTACGAGGGCTTCGTCCGGAACGACAACGGGGACTGCGTATTCGCCTGTCCGTTGGGGTGCCAAAACGGGCGCTGCTACCTCGACGGTAGTTGCCAATGTGATCCGGGCTACAAGCTGGACGAGAGCCGACGCTTCTGCCGGCCCATTTGCAGCAATGGATGCGGCAGTAGTCCACGGCACAACTGCACTGAACCGGAGGTCTGCGGCTGCTCCAAGGGTTACCAACTAACGGACGACGGGTGCCAACCCGTCTGCGATCCCGAGTGTGGAATCGGAGGCCTCTGTAAGGACAACAACCAGTGCGACTGCGGATCAGGCTACAATCTTAAGGACGGCGTGTGCCAGGCTGATTGCTATCAGTAAGTAATTGGAAGTTGCTATGAATTCCGGTCTCATGATCTCTATCTATCTCGGTCTCTATCTACCCATCTCGTAGAAGGTGCCACAACGGCGTCTGCGTAAGCCGCAATCGGTGCATCTGCGATCCCGGCTTTACTTACCACGAGCAATCCTCCATGTGTGTTCCCATCTAGGCACTCAATTTTTATAAGAACTTTAATTAGTTATGGTTGATAAAGCTTGGTATATTTACTATCCTTGATATATTTTCTATTTTAAATGAATTATTATCTCTACTGCCGTTTTTGAATAAAACTTAAAATTACTCTTTTGCGTATGTGCTCTAAACAAAAAAACATCACACAATTATAACATGACTAGACAATAGGTTTTTTAAAATGATGATTTGATTTAAAGAAACGCACAACGCAATTTTTGAAAAATTCATTTTATTAAAAACTGGTCTGATCTATCTCATATTTGCTAAAATGTATATCTTGAGTCTCCCTTTTAATAACCTTAGCAATAATATTATATTTTTTTCCTTATCCACTGTATCCACACAACCGTTCGTTTGGATTCCATAGCTTCCAGAAATATCTGAACAAATGAGATCTTTGCAGGTCCTTGGAGAAAAGCTTACTGTATTTCTTCAACTACAGACCCGATTAGGATCAATCATTGAAATAAAAAGCGGAAAGCGCCAAGGTGTCGTGGGAAGAGATCTCTAATTTTATTTTTTATTATGCTTGTGATGATGAGAATCCGGAGTGACTCAGGTTATTATTTATAATACACAGTTTCTGGACAGAAATTATTAAAAAAAAAAACAATGAATATTAATTTTTTTCTACATAATAACTAGAAAATTAAATTATTAAAAATTAAATTATTATTATAATAAATAAATTATTATAATTGTTTGGTCATTGAGGGTTTTCAATGCCGTAAATAAAACGCAGAATTTATAATCGTTATAAATCTTTATTCATTAAGTAGCTAAGAAGCTAAAGCTCTCGATAAGCTTTAGTTTTAATGATATAAAGAAGTATAAAGCATGTAAATTTGGAGAATCCTCCAAAAACTGTGTGAAAAGAACTGGAATTCGATTCCGGACTCAGGTTTGATTTTGTGTTTGATTGCGTACTGGAACTCTGCTTCTCTGATGTGGAATTATTCTTTGGGGATGATTCTCTTACATATTCAAAAACTGACAAAAAATCGAAAAAAAAAATATTTTGTCTCAGAATTTTGATGCAGTATGGTGGCGAATCGAACCAAAAATCGTTTAAGGTACTCTGCTTGAGAATCGGATTCGAATTGGGGAAGATATAGCCATCACTGTGGGCCATCACTGTGTGGGGAAAACGCCATTTTTAAGGAATCCCATCACGAAAAATGGACAAAAAATTGAAAAAATAATTTGTTCTAGGATTTTGATGCAGAATGGTGGAGAATCGATCCAGAAATCGTTTAAGATTCTCCGCTTGAAAATCGGATAAGAATTGGGGAAGATATAGCCATCACTGTGGGCCCTATAGGGGAAAACCCTATTTTCAAGGGATCCTATCAGGAAAAATGGACAAAAAATTGAAAAAATATTTTGTCTCAGGATTTTGATGCAGAATGGTGGAGAATCGATCCAGAAATCGTTTAAGATGCTCCGCTTGAGAATCGGATAAGAATTGAGGAAGATATTGCCATCCCTGTGGGCCTTATAGGGGAAAACCCCATTTTCATGGGATCCCATCACGAAAAATGGACAAAAAATTGAAAAAATAATTTGTTCTAGGATTTTGATGCAGAATGGTGGAGAATCGATCCAGAAATCGTTTAAGATACTCCGCTTGAAAATCGGATAAGAATTGGGGAAGATATAGCCATCACTGTGGGCCCTATAGGGGAAAACCCTATTTTCAAGGGATCCTATCAGGAAAAATGGACAAAAAATTGAAAAAATATTTTGTCTCAGGATTTTGATGCAGAATGGTGGAGAATCGATCCAGAAATCGTTTAAGATACTCCGCTTGAGAATCGGATAAGAACTGAGGAAGATATTGCCATCCCTGTGGGCCTTATAGGGGAAAACCCCATTTTCAAGGGATCCCATCACGAAAAATGGACAAAAAATTGAAAAAATAATTTGTTCTAGGATTTTGATGCAGAATGGTGGCAAATCAATCTAGAAATCGTTTAAGGTACTCCGCTTGAGAATCGGATAAGAATTGAAGAAGATATTGCCATCCCTGTGGGCCTTATAGGGGAAAACCCCATTTTCATGGGATCCCATCACGAAAAATGGACAAAAAATTGAAAAAATAATTTGTTCTAGGATTTTGATGCAGAATGGTGAAGAATCGATCCAGAAATCGTTTAAGGTACTCCGCTTGAAAATCGGATGAGAATTGGGGAAGATATAGCCATCACTGTGTGCCACATAGGGGAAAACCCCATTTTCAAGGGATCCCATCACGAAAAATGGACAAAAAATTGAAAAAATATGTTGTCTCAGGATTTTGATGCAGAATGGTGGCGAATCGATCCAGAAATCGTTTAAGGTACTCCGCTTGAGAATCTGATAAGAATTGAGGAAGATATTGGCATCCCTGTGGGCCTTATAGGGGAAAACCCCATTTTCAAGGGATCCTATCAGGAAAAATGGACAAAAAATTGAAAAAATATTTTGTCTCAGGATTTTGATGCAGAATGGTGGAGAATCGATCCAGAAATCGTTTAAGGTACTCCGCTTGGGAATCGGATCAGGATTGGGAAAGATGTGGCCACCACTGTGTGCCCTATAGGAAGAAACCCCATTTTCAAGGGATCCCGTCACGAAAAACAGACAAAAAATCGAAAAAATATTTTTTCTCAAGATTTTGATGCAGAACGGCAAAAAAAACTTCCACTTTTTTTAAAAAAAAAGTGGCGCCTGTGATCGGAGTTACTAATAATAGTTGGCCAGATAACAAAAACATTGTCTGTTTAATAAACTTTTTCCAATTAAAACCCCCCAAAAAACACTGAAGTTATAGGTACTGTTTTCACATTTAATTTTTATTTCTCAAGGGAATTTTCGGTTTGGGATTACTTGGGGAGTACATCATACACACAAGTAAACCGATAAACAATTCCAAGCAAAATGAACTTACACATAATCTTGGGGGTCCCGTAAACAATGTTCTACAATTTTCGTAAACTACGAATAATAAAACTAAGGGCAGATCGTCTGAGACTTTTCAATGGACTGGGTGGGGTTGAGTTTTAATCTGATTTTGGATTCGAGTGCGACTCGCTAAGTGCGTGCGTCTAATATTACCATCTATATATTTATATATATCTTTGTATATATGATCTTGGGGGTGTACATACTGGGTGTTCGATTGTGTGTGGCTTTAGTTTTATTCCCGTTTGCGATATTTTATTAAATTTGATTGCATTTCTGTATTGTAGTACGATTATGTTAAACTCTTATGGGGTATACTTTCGGTTTCCGCTGCGATATTGAAGTGCTGCTTATATGGTAGTTCTGAACTAAAATAAACAAAGAAATTGTAACTCTTTTGTTTTTATTCTTGTTATGTATGTATATTTCTAACTCTGCCTGGCATTCCCTCATTAAATTCCATTCAATGGGGAAATTGTCTTTGGCTTTGTTTCCCATTTTGTTCTAGATCTTGTATTTACTTTTTTTTTTTGGTTTTGTGGTTTCCTAAAATTTATGCATTTTATAATTAAAACACGCCCATTCGCCGGGGCTTAAAACGATTTGTTAGGCTACAGTAAAACATTTTCAATGCGCCAAGCTGCGAAGCTTTCAAGTCTTAACTATTTAATCAACTACCAAGTAAAGTGTATAATTTCCATATAATTCGAAAACTGTGTTTTGTTTCTTAAAAAACAAACTCATCAGAATCCAGGGAGGAGGATTGTTTCCTCACCTGGTTCTATAATAATTTGTCTGTTTGTTGGTTGTGTCTTCTCGTGTGGCTTAGCAGTCTAGAGATTAGCTAGTCAGTGGAGAGATATTCTAGTTAATTTTCGCGTTGCTGTAAAAGCAACCGGCTAAAGTTCAATATAAAGAGAAAAATATTATTGTTACCAGAAGAAAGCTTTGAGTGTGGATTTAGCAAAGGCAGAAGCAGCCCAATTGTGTATATTTTTTCCAGTGTGGGTGAAAATGAGTGTGTAATACCTGCTTATATTAACCAACATTTGACTTTTCAAGAGGGAGGTTTCGGAAACTAAATATTTTACAAAAATAATAATTGAAACTATGTGTCCAGGGATTACTTCTCTTTTAGAATAGATTATCGATAATGAATATAAATAAATAAATTTTAAATTATTAAATATAAAAGTTATTGGGTATCCTGTTTCCCTGTGTTTTTACAACCTCCGCTCTAGTGTCATGACGTACCTATTCCTAATAGTTCTATAACTTGATGGTTCCTCTTTCGATTTCTGTTACATATTTTTGGTTTCTTTATCACATGCTTTGCATTTCGGCTGCTCAAAACGTGTCTGGGTGTGTGTGCGAGTGTGTGTCGAGTAATATGATTTATTATCCTGTTGCCAGGATTCTTGCAGCTTGACTAAGATGGCTCTAATAATTATGGTACGTTATGTGAGAGAGCTGCTTTAGAGCTGGTTCAGATCAGGCTCCTCTGGATCGGTCGGGCTGATCGGCGACATTTCCACACTGTCCAGGAGTGGAGTCTTCTCCTCGCTACAACTGCTCCCGGGGGCATCGTCCATGTCCATCACAAAGATCCTGGACAAATCGACACCGCTCAGAGTCAGTCGTGAGGGGGACTCGTCCACCGAACTAGAACTGCTGCTGCTGTTGCTACTGGTGGTGGGATTCGGGATGTTCGGGATGTTTTGGATGTTCTGGATGCTCTGATCGAGGGACTTCGAAGGTGTCCTGTAACTGGCAGTTGCCTGTGCCGCCGCGGTGGCCACTAAATTCGATTGGCTGGACTGAGCGGACAGCGAGGTGGTCTTTATATTGGTCGTCTTCAGGTGGCCGCCAATGGAGCAGCTGCTGCTCCACCTGCCACCCGGTGCCTTGTAGTGCTTCTGCTGGTGGTGCTGACCCTGGCTCTGATTTTGATTCTGAATCTGATTCTGATTGTAGTGATGCTGCTTTTCACCTTGACCCTGCGATGATACCGTTGGATTATTGTCATCGTTGAAGCTCATCTCGTCCTCGCTGTGTGTGTTGTTTATGGCCGTTTGCTTGAGTCGCACCAAGTGACGTTCCGAATATGATTTCCGGGCGTCCATGACCCTCAAATAGTCGGAGGATTCGCCCAGATCCTCGCTTTTGGAGCTACAGTATCTGGCCGAGTTTCTCGAGCCACTGCCATTGCCGCAAAAACTTGTGGTAACACTCAGCATTTGCTGGCTGCCACTCAAGGACCTTCGGCTGGCCTGCGAGCTGCTCCGGCTCTCGTATTGATTGTCCCGCAAGGAACAGGGCGATATCCTGGGCGAAGGATTGTTCTCCATCAGGGAGTCATTGCTCTTCGCTATCCTGTTCTTCCTGTAGAATTTGCTATCCCGCCAGAGCGTCTGCCTTCCGGTTCTCTGCATCTCCATGCAGTTGCCCGGGTGGCTGGGCGGCGTTTGGCTGGTGGGCGTCGCCGTGGGCGAGTCCTGGCCCTGGCCCTGGCCCTTGCTGATCCGGAAGGAGGCGTGGGTCAGTTTCTTATACTTTTCGCTCTGCATGTTGACGCGATTGTCGGAGTGAGTCCGATCTGCCATCGGCAGGAAGGCGTTGTCGATGCGGCGCTCCTCCTCCAAGGATCGAAATGCCAGGCGGTTAACGTGCTTTAGGTGCTGCTTGTCGGATGTTCGCTTGGGAGACATGTCCTCGAAGGAGCTCACCTGGAAAGGACACTAATTAAGCATGATTTTTCAGACTTGTTTAAGTGATAACATAATGATCGGTCATACTGATATTCCATTACTTACCCGATATTTCTGCGAAAAGACCTCTATCATACCAGATCGCTTCGAGGGCGATGTGGTGTAGATGGAATTCTGATCATTGACCAGGATCTTGGGCGGATCGAATTGCTGTTGCTGCTGGTAATGCCCCTGACCTTGTCCCTGACCCTGACCTTGACACGCATTGCTGGTGGAGGCCAGCGAAGAGCTGCTCGAGTTACTGGTAGCTGTAACAAAGATTTTCGGGGAAAGAGAGACGGGAAACTGTTGGGGTCGAATATTTCCAAAAGATCCGCAACCCGAGCCCGACGAAGTGGAGCCCGTCCCCGACATGGCATCATCGATGTGCAGAAAGTTGTTGGGGGAACTCTCGCGACATGGCGAAGATATGGCCGAGTCCTGCGACACCATACTCCTGGGAATGGTTGCCAACTCCAGGCATGTTTCGTTGCCACCCGTTGTGGTGGCTATGATGATGTCCTCGACACCTTCGTCGATGGGCGAGGAGATGGACTGGAAACTGCTCAGCCGGATGCTGGACGAACCGATGGAGAGGTCATTGTCGGTCAGGGAACCGAAGGCCGAGTCCTGCGAAGGATTGCTGCGTCCGTATTTGAGGCATTTCAGGGAGTACTCCAGCCGCCGGCTCTTTGAGTTCTTGTAGTTGCACATGTCGGCTGTGAGTTGGTGGTTGAAGGAGGCCCCAGCCGAGCTGGAAGAGCAGGCCGGAGCCTGCAGCCTCTGGGCTCCAACTGAGGACGAGCCACTGGCCTCCTCCTCGCACTCCTCCGCCTCCTGGACACTCTCCTCCACCTCCTCTTCCTCTTCGGTTAGGCACCCGCCTTCGGCCAGAATGACATTCAGGTTGCTCTGGCTGCTGGTGCTGCAACGAATGGTGGGCGGCTGGGTGTCCTGGCCCGGCTCATGACTATTATCATCCGAGTAGAGGGCAGCCGGGTCACAATAATGAATCGGTGACTCCGAGGGCTCGTACGAGTGAATATACGAGTGGGCGGAGTGCCATTGCTGCAGGCGGAGCAAGTGCTGCCGGTGGCAGCTTCCTCCAACGACAATCTCCTCGAGCAGACCCTCTTCCGAGTCGCTTGATATGTCAAATGAGTCCATTGTTCGACTGATCCTGCCGAGGGGGAAGCACCATTCAGAGAAAAAAGTGCAGAGAATAACAAGAAGAAATTTCAGAATTTTTTCAGGCTCCCTTCGGTACCTGATTCGATTTTCTTTTGTGTTCAGGATATATGCAGAAAAGCCATGGCATGTCATTGAAGGCGATGAATGCACTGCAGGGCGTTTTTGTGTGTTTTTGTGACTGAGTGCTGCCATGGAAGCGTCAATACGTGCTAGTTTTCAATCAGGGTTAGCTCTCGCTCTCTAAATTCAATTAGTGGCCCAAAAACTGGACAGGACATTTGCATTTAAATTCAAAATAAATATTTCTAAAGGGGACATGTGTATGAATGTTTGATCTTAAATATCCCTTCCTAGCTTGGGGTTTAGGCTTTTACTCTGGGAATATGGCTTGGGCGACAAAATAAAAATATTTTATATTCTAAAAGAAAACAAAAGCACATCTTATCTTACACTTTAATCAAAGACAAATAATTATCTAGGGCATGCAGGCAATGTTTTTTTAAGCATTGGATTTGATGTGGACAGCTTGGCAAATAGGTTACAGTAAGGAAAACATTCAATATATCAAAATTTATTATGTAAACGAGTGAAAATCTAAAAGCAATTGTAAACAAAAGGCTTTAAATAAACAGACATAAATAGTTTAGTACTCTGATGGCTGAATATTTTCCATTGGATTCGATTTGCTGTGGTGCGAAGGTGGTTCGCTTGCTGGGCGGCTGCGGTGGTTGTGGTTCTTTTTCGAAGTGGTTTGAAGCATACAAAAATATTGCCACTTACCACAGTTAGCTACAACAAATATGGTGTATATTTATTTAAGGTTTTCCGTCTGGTACAAAAAAAATTTAAAGTTTCGTACAAAAAAATTGTATGTTTTTTGTATTCTCAGTTGTTTATTTGTTTAAATTTCATTTATTCAGGTATTCTTTTGGGGGTTTGTTTCACACGATATTCATTTTGTAAAATTTAATTGTGAGATATATTTTGTATATTTTTTTTTTTTTGTGAGTTCATAGTTGAATTTGAGTTTTTGGTTTTTTTTTTGTTGGTTGGTTGGGTTCTTGGTTCGGTCGGTTTTGGTTTCGGTTCGGGTTGGTTTAGTACATACGAAAGACTTCATAGGGCGCAGGCAGAACACTGTTGTTGTTGTAGTAGTAGTTGTTGTTGTTGTTGGTGGTTTTTAGTTAGTCGAACAGGTTATGTAAATAAACAAATGCAAAAATGCAAGAGTTTGTAAATCAAAAACAAAACACACACATAGGTAATGTAAACAAAAATGAACGTTGATAGACATTCAAGAGCGGATCTGTATGTGTGTAGAAGATGATGGGTTTGGTGTAGCGGCAACTGCAACTGCAACGGTAACTGTAACGGAATACTCTGCGCTTTCGCAACACTAAGATAGATTTACACATACACACACACAACAAAGTTGAGTAGTAGTAGTAGTAGTACATGGTAGGAGTAGGCGGTAGGAGAGAGAAAGAGAGAGTAAAACATTGCATACAAAAAAATACTTTAGTTGAAAAAATCCTCCACTACATAAATGGTAATTAATTGTTAAATAATTAAAACATGCGTTTGAGTATATTTATTAAATATTATTATTATTTTTTTTTTAAGGCAGCGGAGTAAATTTACACAGGGGCAAAGATGCTTAAATATACATGAAACAGCAAATGAGGACATTTTGTTCTGTATTTATTATTTTGGGACTTTTTCTCTGGCTAGTTCTCCCTTCTTTTACTTTTTTTGCTTTTTTTTTATCACTCAATTATATTCCTGTCTTGTATGCATAATTTTAAATTCTGCCCGGGGCGGAGGATGGGTCAGGACGAGCAGAGTCCAGGACATTACCATAATTACCTTTAGACACGCACACACACACACACCCATCAGCCGCACGCTGATGCTTTTATGTGTGTGTTACTGTAAGTGTGAGCTTTTCTTTATTAGCCAAAAATGCGAGTGCACGTCAACTGGATTACACGGCCCGAGGTTAGGCTTATAGGTGGCGACCAACGTGGGGCACAGCTAGGACTCTGCTGCAGTCACAGGATGTTGTTTTTGAAAAAATTATATTTTAATTTAAACATCTCCCCTTGCCGGATGTTACAACTAAAATATATAGTCTACCAAACTTTAAGCTAACTGGAAAAGAAACTCTATATTCTCTACAATATCTAGAAACAGTTTAGGGATCTGCTTCCACAGGGACAACATTTTAAGAGACTGTACTTCCTTTTTTAAAGGTAATTGGAAAAATTGATATTTTCATTTTTTTTATGAGCATACAAGACCTGTTGTTTCTCTCACACCGAAAACATGACACGACGACGATGAACTGAATTGTGTATGAGTTTCTGTGTTTGTCTGGTGTCTGTGGGATGAGTATGGAGGATGTATGCCAGTGACTGACAAAGTGACAAGATTGCAAAATATTGCTTCTAGGTGGAAAGGATACTGGCAGCAAGAGGATGAACTCACCCAGTGCGTCGATCGTGCGGCGTGGAGGGTGGCGTACAGGGGGAGTTGGCCTCGCTGAGGGAATGCCCCAACGAGGCGCATTGGCGCTTCTTCACGGCGTGCAGCAGGTTCAGGGTGGACCTACTGAGGCTCGGCTTAATTGTCTATTTTGAAGAGATAGTTAGTTTTTTGGAAATATATAACATGGGAAGTACTTACACTGAAACAGGGACCTCGCAGCTCGCGCAAATCGATGCTGCGAAAGAGATCGCATAGGACTAGGTCCTCAACGGAGGGGCACACACCGCTAGGCGGTTCAAAAATTAGACCTAATATCTCAAGAATCTAGAAAGGGATAACAAAAAATATAAATTCGTAAATTTAAGATAGCTCAGATAGCAATGTTACCTGGCCAATTTGTGGATAGTGCTGCAGCTCCATCTCGAGCACCCGCATGGACGGCTTGGGGGTGGTCAGCTCCTGGCCCGTGCACATCTCGTAGAGCAGATGGCCGAAGCAGACGATGTCGACATTCTCGATTTCGGTCACCGAGCGGGACCACATGACGGCGTTGATGCGCGAACTGAGGCCGAGCAGGCCGTTCTCCAAGCCCGATAACCTGATGACGGTGCGGAAAAGGAAAACGTAAAGGATGTGAGTGTCACAGAAAATGCATAATTAAATGGTGAACCCATCCTTTTAGTCCCGCCTCCACTGTTTTTTCGTCTTAATTATACCACATTCGATAGCGGGGGCGATGGCGATGGCGATGGCTACGGCTGTGCCTAGGCCTTTGCCAGTGCCATATATTGATGGCCAACACGTGGCAATGTCGGCCACAAAGTGTCTACTTTTATGGATTTATGTGCGAGCGAGAGGGTGGTGGTATTTCATATTCGTGCCGTCTCTGTCGCCACTCGGGCAATGTGCCTTTATGACAAGGAGCGTATGTCAGGCCCGATATGACAATGTTATGGCACTGAACAATGTTTCGTATATTGCAGATTGACAGGGGATTTTGGTCTGAGGGTCCTGATGTAAAGGCATACAAAATTGGCTGACAAAAGACAAAAGATATTGAAGATGGTCGGCTGGTTTTTGGCTTAAAACCTAGGCATGCTTAATTAACACTTTAGTTTTGCCGTAATCCTGCTTATTACTTGTAATTCCAAGCTTGTTTTAATAACACTTTGATTTTCCGAGATTACTATTTCCAAGCACGTAGAGATTCCTATTGCAATCCCTTTGTAAAAGTATTTTCCTTTCCACTCTATCAATCAGCTTTTCAGCTTACAAATCTCTTCTTTTCCTTCACTATTTTTCCCTCCTAGTTGGTCTCTTCGATGGCCCTATCGATGACTGTACATATGTATAAGCAATTTATATGAAAATCAGCTTTTGCGATTCCCCCGACCCCTGCCAAGAGTGCAGCGATTCCCTAGCGACAAAGTCACTGAATTGGGTCATGCACTTGGCGCAAACTTGAACAAAAAGGGGTGCTTTACGCGTTGTCGCACAACAGTTACAAGGATCAGGAAGGCAGGGTGGTAGGGTGGCCGTAGGTGGACTCCCACACAGAAACATGCATTTAAAGTGCCTCCAATATGGCAAACCATTCTGTTGAATGGATTTTAATTTACCATTTTGGTTTAAATCGTTTTCCAGTTCTATTTTCGGAACATTTTGCAAGCCCCTGTTCTGGTTTACATCGTTTCGATATCAAATATTTAAGGCATTATTAAATTAGCTCACAGTCGAGTGGACCCAAGTGGACTGTGCGATGGACTCTCACTCACCTGGCGGCGCCGTTTTGCAGGATGACATTGCCGCTGTGCAGGTGACCGTGAAGCGGAAAGCCGCGCTCCTTTAGGAAGAGGAGAGCCTCCAGGATCTGACGGCCCAGTCGCTGCACTTGGCTCACTGGCAGTCCATTTGGCTTACGCGTATACTTCTTGGCCCACGGCTCGTTCCACTGTGCCTGCAAATTGAAGTTAATTTTGTTTAAATTGGGTTTAAAAAATATTGAAAAGTAATTTCATTTTGAGAAACTAAGAAGAAACCTTACTGACCTTATAAATGAGATCCTTGAGGCTGCCGCGCGAGTTGAATGGCGTCACCAGACACGCGTAGTTATACGAGCTGTTGCGCAAGAATCCCAGGTCCAGCACAGGATATATGTACGGGTGATGCAGTGAGCCCAGCAGCTCCATAAGGATATCCCTGGCACATTCGTTGGGCGGCAGATCCTCGAAGGCCACGCAGTCGGGTGGCAGAGGCAGCAGAGTCTGCAGACGATCTGTGCGAACCTGAAGGGAAATCCCGAAAATAAACATCTTTAAAAATGGGATGTAAGGTAATCCCTTACCGAAGCATCTGTAACCAGAAACCAGTTTTTTCCGTGCCTCGAACCTATTTCATCCAGGTGGGCAATCACCTCGTAGCGCCCATTGGCACTCTGAATCCACTCCTGGGTGGCATTGAGGGCCTTCTCCCTTTGAGCTCGCTCCCTGGGACTGCGCTCCACGATCCCATTGCCACTGTCCAAGGCGGAGTACTGGTATTTGATGTTGGGCCTAAAACACATTTTAAATAAATTTAAATCTTTTTCTATAATTGATGTTCCGCAATAATTTTTCATAAAGAGCATACATTTTGAAAGATTTGCTAACTAAGGAAACTTGTTTTGTATTATTTAACTAAAAGTATAACCAATCTTTATGGGGCTATCAAGCATCACATTTAGTGGAGGACAGATTTATTTACAACCAAGTACTGCAAGGGACATTTAGAAGGTCCCTTTAGAAGGTAGAACTTCATTCCCATAGAGGGTATAAGTGGTTTATTTACAACATATTTTATAGTCAATGATAATGAATTATGAATGCTGTTAGGACTTTCCCCTTTTAAAATTTTAACCACAAACTATAGCCTTTGGGCCAACTTCCCCGTACATGTGCCACAGGACAATTGCAGCTGAAATGTTGCCAAAAAAAAAGAGAGGCACAAAATAATTTGCTCAGCAGCGTTTTTTGTTGGCAAGCTCTTGAAAGGTGCCGCAGGCCAAAGGAATTTGCAACTCAATGAGGACAGAAAAAGGACGAAAGGGTAAAAAGGAAGAGGAAGTAACTGCCTGCACAATGGCGCAGCGGAAACGGAAGCAAGAGTTTATCATTTCATTTCGTTTGTTTCGTCCCGGTTTCTTTTTGTTTTTTTGTATATTTTTTTAGAAACAATTTATTATATTGTTTTTTTGTTGCAAGTGAAGAGTTGTACAAAGAGAAGAGAGTGCAAAAAAGCAACTGAAAATGGAAACGGTGTCAAACAAAATGGAAAGGAAAAGAGCCAAGAAAAGCTAAACAAAACTGCACTCACTTGGAGGCTCAAAGAAAACAAAAAAGACAGAAACACAGAGAGAGAGAGAGAGAGAAAGATAGAAAAATAACAAAGGCTGGAAAACTTTTACAAAATGTTGGCAGCTCTTGGAGGGGCAGAGCGAGGGAGGCTCATAAACAAACACTTACGGCCACTCAATCAAAACAGAGCGAAGGTTAAGCACATCCTCGGGTTAAGTTTAGCATGTGTTTGAAAATTTAATAAGGCAGCCGGCAGTGCCAGCAAACGAAACGAGGAGAGAATAGAAAGTGGAGAAGGAGGCAAAGGACGAAAGGGAGAAAGGAGAGTGAAAGTGTGTTCGTGTGTGGCATAAAATGTTGGCCAAGAGGGTTCTTCTGGCCTTCCTCTCACCCCATTTCACTTTCATTGCGTCACAAGAACTTGCAAAAGCGAAAACGAAATGAAAAGATACAACTGCACTCAGAGAAATGTACATATAAATTTCAAAGATTTTTTCTTAGCCTAAACATCAATTATTAACTTAAGAATTGAATAAATAATTTTCAAGTTTAGTTTCTCAAAAAATGTTTAAGTTTTTCAGTGCACTTGCATATACGTTTGTGCCTGCTAGACCACAACAACCAAGAGCTGGCAAAACCCTTTGCCTATCTCTTTAGGCGCTTCGCTTGCGCTTTTGGCCAACGGTGCGTATACGGAATATTTCTCATTTCCCTGCTGCTCAAGGCCTTGATTCCGATTGCAGCTGAAACACTTTTCATTTTTTCGCATCGCATCGAAGTGAGAGAGCTGGTGGGTGTGCGTGTGTGTTTTGGCCTGTTTGTTTGTTGACTTTAGCTAATTCTTGTTGCAAAAACGTAGAGGTGACTTTCTTTCGTTTATCTTCGTTGTGATATTGCAGCTTAAATATTTACCAAACACTCGACACACTTGTTGTTTGCCAACTCTGGAAAGTGAGTGAAAAATGTCAGAGCAGAGCAATGGAAAGGCCAAAAATGAAAGTGTAGGAAAGGGAACCTCCCAAATGTCATGGGACCTTTTGTCTTCATTTAAGAGCTTTAATGGAGTTTCTGCACAGCTCATTTAATTATAAAGGTAAGCTTCTTTCCAAAATACTTTTAACAAATAGCTACTAATTGGACATGGTACTTTTATGTTCCACTCTTAAAGATTTTTTACAAAATTTTCATGGAACTCTGAAAAGTAAAAACCAACAATGATGACCCCTACCATATGTCTCTTCGATATAAATAGCATTTGAAGTCCTCACATCTGCGACTCGTAAAATTAGCGAACCGAACGTTTTTCCGTCCAAACCTATCTCACAGATACACAGATACTTGTATCTAGGCCCAGAAGGTGATGATGTGGGGCCTGGCAGGTGGGGATCGGTTGAAGTTATTCAAAAATGTTTGAATGTTGCGCGTAATTAACGTGCTCGTGTGTGAAATTTTTTATTGCATACTTTGCAGCACTCACACATGCATATTCAACTGCTCGTTAGAGGCACACCCACACCAATACCGACACTTACACACACGAACAGATGCTCACGCTCGCTTGCACATTCATCATACGGCTCAGCACGTACCTGAAGGGTGGGAGGCCCATACACACATACATACATACCCCTATAGAAGGCACACACAGATACTCGATTTTTCTGGCATTTCAGGTTGCTTCCCCTTCCCTTCTTTTTTTTGGCGAACTTTTGCCGAGTTGATAATTTAATTTGCACTGGTTGCGTGTATGTGTGCCTGGGCATCTAATTTGAAGAATTTTCACCTTGGAAAAACTTTCACCTGCCTTTCTGAACAAAAGGAATGGGCGCTTTTCTGTGGGCGATGAAATGCATTCTATCATCGCATTTAATACTTTGACTTTGACGCTGCCGTTGGCTTTTCACTCGAAATGAGAAAACTTTCCAAATGCTCGCAAAGTTGTGTAAATTATTTTCCTACCGACAGACCAACAGACGACGTTAGATAGATCTGCTTTATATTAAGTTTAATTCGTACTTTCTTTTTGTGTCCAACCCACACAAAAAAAATAAATAAAAAAAATAAAAAGAACCATTGCCCACAAAAGCTTTCAAGTTAATTATTTTGTTGGCTGCTGCTGCTTTGTGGTTGAAACCCTCTTGAAAACATTACTTGTGTTATCGCTATGTATACTTGTGCATGTGTTCTACATAAAAATAAATGCTAAATGCGAAAAATAATTGCTTTTGGGGTGTGTATGCTTTTCTTTCGATCCACTACAATCAAATTCTACGTGTTGCGAAACATTTAAAAGCATTTCTGATTTTTAATTCTATTAATATGTTTTTTTTTTTTGGCATGCAAAGTGCTGTTGAACTGGTATATTGTAAAGGAACAAAAAAACTCAAGAAAAATGAAACAAACTCGGCAAGCAAAATGGTAAAAATTTGCACTTGAGAAAGTAAATGGCTGAATGCTGATTTAAAAAATTTCAAAAGTATTCAAGCTAAATATAATTGAGATTAGTTTAGTACAGAGTAGAGTAGTAAATGCAACCTTGTTGTCAGTACTGAATCTATGGTATCTCTACTTCCGGTTTCCGCTGGCATCGACTTGCTAAAGAAGAGCCTAGCTAGATTGTCTAACCTCGCGCTAACCAGCGGCGATTTCTCCGAATGCTCGGACTGATCTGAGTTATCTTGCTCCGAGCTCGCCGACCGATTGCTGCAAATAGAAGGGTACACAATGGGTGGTTGCGGTGGGTGTTTTTTTTTTTTTTTGGTTGTTTGGTGGTTTTCAAATAAAAACGAAATGAAATCCGAAAAATAAATACAAATATGATAAGTAAGTGTTTTCTTCTTTTTTTCGTTTCAGTCTGTTAAAGAAGCTTCACAAACTAAAATTATAAACTTTGGGAACCTGTGCACTGTGCTAAGTAATTTCATTATTTCTTTTTTTAAAAGAGGTGTGTGAGTTGCTTTTTTTGCTGTATTGCCCACCCACACACCCACAGACACATTGCACAAAAGTTTCATATATTTATTTACACAACACAGTGCCGGTATCTTCGGGACTACTCACCTGCTGTAGATCTGGCGGCGATTGGCGGCTGTCAAGGCAGAGACATCAAACTCGATAGCCGAGTTGGAGCGTTTCAGTCCATTCGCCTTGTGCAGCTTCTTCATAATATGCTTCACCTTCCTATCGATACGGTTATCGAGTTATCGATCCAAGCGGTTGCATTTCATATTGAGAAATAAACACACACATTGGCAGTCATTTGTTCTTCGCGACATTAAGTGTTTTTTTTTTTCAGAGAGTTGAAAAGGCATTTTTGTTCTATTTTTATACAAATATTCTTTTTTTTATACAAGAAACAATCATTTTACTGAAATATTTTAATTTAAAATGGTAATGGTAATGATTTTCACGGTCTCACGGGGCATACAATTAATATTACGTATACGCCCCATACGCCTCAATGAAGAATTAGATCCTAGTACATGCAATAAATCGTATAATGAAAAATAAATAAACATTGTAAAATGCTATTTCAACTCTTCTCATTTGTAACCCCAAGGCTTGTCCTTATCGACTCGAGATCACTCACTTTTCGGGCACCGGCGGTCGGACAAAGGGGTCATGCCCTGTGACGGCACTCGCCCTATTGTCGATCCTCTGCTGCTGGGCCGCCTTGTTGAACTTGAACATGGTGAAGGACTTCTTGGCGCTAGCCACCTCACAAACGCGAACGATGATCTTGCGACTGCTCTTGAAGACCGTGTTCAAGGTCTTGTAGACTAGAATCGAGACGGACTTGGAGGCGTGCGGATTATGGTGTTGAGACTGTGGATCCGGTTTCTGGGTGAGTGGGGTGGGCAGAGACTGCTGCTGCTTCAGTTGATGCACTGGAGCATGCGACGGCGCCGACGCCGATGATTGTGATCGGGTGATGACTTTGCTATCCCGCGGGAGATGATCCCGTTCGCGCTGATCCCGCTGATCCCGCCTGTCGTCCCCCCGATGGCAGTTGATGATGAGCTCCGGCTCCGGATGCGCCGCTGCCGCTGGATCGTTGACCTCGCTACAAGTGTCCTGTGGTGGTTTTTTTGTTTATGTTTAAGCCGTGACGTGGTTTTTGGTGGAAATTCAAGTGTTCAAGTGGCATTTTTTGGTATTGTGGGTGGATTTCGAACAAAAGTTGAGTGGCCACAAGAAGATGGAAAGAAATATGCGGTAGAAATGTTTTTAAAAAATATATTTAAATCCAAAGCACAAGGCTTAGCACAGCAACGAAATGAACAGAAGCGTTTCGTGAAACGTAAATAAAGGGGAAATTAAAATGTATATCTATAAGCTAATATCACCCCGGCAGTTGCAATTGCGTTTGCATTTGCTCAACAATCGTTCAAAGAGTGTAAAATAATTGAACCAGAATAATAATTGCTGTAAAAGACAATCACAAAAGCATTTTGATAACGAACTTAGCCAAGTTCTTTGTTTTGATTTTAAAATGAGTGTGTTTTCTTCCAGTAAATGTAAGTTTAAAATTTAAATAAAGTTTAAATGAAAGGTGAAACATGCTTTCGATCATATGCCAATTTTTCAAATCAACTAAACTAATTTGCAGCCAATTTGTATAGAAGCGTAATCTAGAAAATTTGCATAAAAAAATTGCGTGAATAATAGAAATAAAAAGAAATTTAACAAATTTCAGCGTGTTTGAGTGTTTTTCTTATTTGTTTGGTTTAATTTATGCAGCCAATTTAGAAGTTGAAATAAATCATAAGTTTGTTTGCTTTTGATTTGCTCTGGTGATTTTATTTGCTCTCAAATTGCTGGCTAATTTGCTTCGATCGAAAACTTGACTTGCAAAGCAAATTTACCTACCGATCCCGATCGCTTAGCAAAACCTCGCTACAGTCCAAAATGGCACGACACCTATATTTGTGGTTCGATGGTTACAGAAATTTAGTTTACAATTGAATTTTTCACTTTAACTTTTTTTTTTGTACAGAGGGTGGGGGGATATTTGAATTTGATGAATTGTGATGCGAGGGAAATCAACTTGACCCCATTCAACATTTCATTTCGATTTCAAAGCTGATATCTGATTATATTGATTGCTTTTCCGAAATGCATTTTTGATTCGATTAGCGAGAGATGCGATAAGTTCATATTTCTTTATAATTTCTTTTTTACAGTGAGTCCCCCCAAAAGAGATTGACATTAATTTTAATGATTAATGATTGTTTTCGTGCCGATTACGAACATATAAAAAGATTGAAATAGCCAATTAGAGCCTAATAATAATTGCTTATCGCATGTCAGGTTTTCCCCAATTACCACTAATGGATGCCTCACTGTTTTTCAAGTGGCCTTCTTTGCTTTAGGCCATAGCTGCAAATTAAATATCTGACGTAGATCAGATTTAAATTTCAAACACATCCACGTCTATGGCACTTTAGTTTGTGCTATTGTTGGGCTGCCTGAATGTTTTGTGTTAATTAAAAAGTACACGCCCCTTCAACATGCAAAACTTTTGAAGTTATTTTACCGAAAGCAATTGCGTTGCAGTTCAACGAATGTCCTTCGCACTCTGAAAAGTAAACCACAACAAAAACAAGAAGTGAAGAACTACACTCGCACAAGCGGAACAATGGAAAGGACTTTAATAGACGCTTAAATAAATCATACGCCCCGTGTGCCGCACGTCCCTTTGTTTCTTAACAGTATGAGTGGGGCACGGTGTTGGTTTTTGTGGCTGCGTGACATTGAGCCCTATATGTGTACATAGGGCCGCCTTTCTTCTGCCATGTGAACTGCACGTTTTTGCCGCTCTGGGCCCATTTGTCTAATTGTCTAATTCTAATTTTAAATTGTGTTTTTTCTTTTGCTATTGCTGTTGCATGCTCATTGTTGTTGGCCGATTTAATCGTATTTGATTTCCTCTTGCCCCCCAGCACGCTTTAGACCATTTATCTAATCAGGCACAGTTCGTTTCTTGCTTTTACTTTCAAGACACTTTATTGATTTTTCTTTAAGAAACGGTGTCTTGAGTTGCAAGTGGTACGTTTTATTTTTCCTTTGACTTTCAGGTGTTCACGAGCGCGCCCCCTCTCCGGCTGTCTGGGTGTCGTGCTCATATTCATATTTGCAATCACGATATGTAAGTCGGTCTCGGGTTTATCCTTCAATTTGATTATTGCATTATCCTGTCCGTCACTAGCTTGTTGGTTGCAAATTAAATTGTCATTTTTGGTAAATGGTCGAAAGAAACGCGATGCGGCTAGGAGAGGGCTTTGTTGTTTATAACGTGTTCCAATAAAAGCACATGTCATTAATCAATATCGGGTGGCTCGTCGTCTGCGGCTCAACCGAAGGCTTAGTTCAATGTTCCAGACATTAAGTCCTAGCTATTTAATTGAATTGCTTTTGGAAGAGGCCTAACCTGAAGATATTACTCATGCTGAGAGTTAAAAATAGGTGGACAATTTTTCCATGCCCATACCCAATTACTAATTATTTTTGTTGGTATTATGTGGGCTTTTTAAAATACGGCAGCACAAACAAAAATGATTAAGAAGTGGGTGAGTTGTTATCGAGGAAAACTTTCAGTTGATAAACTTTGTCTACATTTGTTTTGTTATTCATTTTTGCATATTTGTCCCAATTATTTAAGATACTGGCTTAAAAACTCAGTTTTTGGTATAAATTGTAGCAAATAATTAAAAATATCTGTAACCTTTTAAAATATTATCTTACAAAAATTTGTTTCTAAGTTCTTCAAACACCTCTTATGAATTTAAAAATACTTTATAAAAATTCTTACATTTTTAAACACTTGTCGAGAAACATTTCCGCATTTCGAATTTCCCACTCGATTAATCTAAGGAAAATCCCCCATCATCTTGTTGTGCCAAAAAAATAGCATAATTTGCATTATTCCAAGGAACCCAGCTTATTTCATCTTCCCACGCAAATGGCTGGCACAAAAATAGAATTGCACATTAAAAATGATGATGAAAACGATGGTGGATGGAAGTAGCGGTTAAGGGTCCTGAGAGCAAGTGGCACCTGTTTCTGATGATTGAGCCTGGGGAGTTAGTTGCCCCTAGACCAGCACTTGCCACGACCTCTTCGGCTTCATTATGGTTGCACTCATTGTTGATTGGGTCAGACAAATTTTAATAAATTCTTAAATAGTTTAGAGCTGCGTCACAAAGTTTCTCTGCTGGTAAAGAGTTGAGTTTTCGGTGTCGCACTACCGCTTGCCATGTAATGGATTAGAAATTTTTTTGCCCCTTGATTGGAGGGAAGGGATGCCACCAAAATTAACTTTTCGAAGTTCCAACAAGTTTTCAAAGTTTCTCACTCGCTGACGCGCCGAAAATTTAACGTAGTATAGGCTGCGGTGTAAATTGGTTAAATATTTAAGCCATGAAAACGCGGCCAACACGGTGCTCGGGTCGTCCGTTAATGAAGGTGCGATACCGAATATCGTTTCGACTGGGGCGAAAACTATGAAATTTCTTCATTCCAGTCCGACTGAGGTGTGTTTTTCACCCAGAAGTATATACTACGGTATGTACTATACAATATGGCGGCATGTGGGTGAGTGGCTTAGAATGTTTGCGTGCTCATATCGCTTCACGTTTGCGGTTGTATTCGTGGCCGACTCGTCGCGTCGGTCCGACCAGCCCTTTCTCGCTCACACCGCCCTCTATCTGTCTCTCTCCGTTCTCCTGGCTGTGCGTCTTCCCCTTCTAACTGGATTATAAAAATTGATTTTTAATTTTTATGACAATTTCCAACTGACTCATGGCGAGTGTCGTCGTCGAATGGCTGTCGTTTGAGCGTATTCATTCCACTTTTATTTGCTCTTGCTTGGCTAAAACCCCTCGGGCCCAGACCCGGGTTGTAGCCCAGCCCCGTTGAACTTGGCATGCCAGTCTGTTTGGCTTGACAATGGGCTAACAATGTACCGTGGTGCAAAACTTGGGCCAGGAAATGTTGGCCTAATAAGGACAAGGTCAAGAAAGAGGGCTTAAGGGTATGGGGAGTATATACACGTATGTTTGTGGTCAGTAAAGTATTAGTACCATTGACTGGGATTTTTTTTTATTAATATTACTAGTAAGAATTTTTAAATTCCAATTAAAGGACCAAATATTCATGGCTTATGCTTGCCACTTTCCCACTTATAAGTCTTTTTTATTCTTTTGTTTAAAATACCTTTGAAACAATGTGCCATGTCTGCCATTTTATGTTTATGTGTCGTGTGTATTTGCGGCAAATAGTTGCGGTGTTGCCCACTTCGTGACACATTAATCATGACCCGCTCAACGACTGTTTACCTTCGCTCTGACCACCAGCTCCACCCGCACCACTAAGCCACTCAACCACTCGCCCAGTCCCCCGACTCTTCCTCCCATACCTTTTTCCATTTTCCATTACTCCCAGGACATTTGGCTATATGCAAATATTACAGTTTGTTTGTTTGCTGGTTTGCCTTTGATCGCTCCATATGGAAATTGGAAAAGTTTTTACGCGCTGGCCTCGCGTGAAGCCAACATGAAAGTATGGTGGGAGCGGAATGAAAATGGAAAATGGAAGCCTTTCGGCGCGGTCAGTTGTCCTTTTAGTGCTTTGTTGCCACTGCGTGTCCTTTAATATACATTTGTTCCATAAAGTAGACAACTAATTGGAATATTTCGTGAAACTTTTTTGCCAAATACATATAATAAAATAGTAAACTTTTTCTTTTATTTTTCAAAACCATTCCTGGTGATATTTTCTCCTAATTTTTAGTTTAAGTTACTGAATCCTTACTGTATGTTTATAGCATATATATATCACTGTCTGTACGGACAAGCTGGCGCCAACTATCGTAATGAAACCCCGAAACGGGAATGGGAATTTGATGAGCAGCGCCTACTGGTCACCGCCCTCCAGACTGCCCAAAGTCAACTGCGTCATTGTTGGGGGTGGCAGGTCGTCAGAGCTGTTTTTTGGGGAAGGGCTTGAGCAGCCGGGGCTTGGGCCAGGCCCATTTCCAGTGACCTTGCATCATTAACTTAATTGCTCAAACAGTCCTCGGCTCGTCCAATTGCCGGCCTGAATTATTCAGTTGTTCTGCTCGGCCAACTGGCAATTTTGCGTCTTTTCAAATGTCACCACAAGTTCTCTGTCACAAATAGTAGAAAATAGTAAAAAAAAAGCCACAAAACCATACAGTTTTTTTATTTTTTTCCCTCCCGTCAGAGGGGAAAACGATAGAAATCCCCACGTGTAAACCCTCTGGTCGTTGGCCCGTTCACGTTGTCTCGCCTTTTTTCCAAGGCATCACGTGTCGCGGGACTTAGTCCATCGAAAATTGAAATATTTTTTTTTCAAACAAATGCCAGAGATAGATAGGAAATGGCTAACATGCCCAAACCAACAGTCACTAATTGGATTAAAGAGTTTTCCTGCTGCGCTTCTGGCCACGCGAATCGCAGACAACAAATGCGCTATTTTTATATTTTTTAAAAAATTCCAAAAAGGGATTGACGCTATTGAAATACATACCTGCATCGTCTTATCCAATATGAGATGACAACAATTCCACCCAATACCAAACCTCCTAAGGCACACCAAAAAAGGGTCTGTAAAAAAGAAATATATGAAATATATTACGAGGTTAAAAATTTAAAGATTCTCTCAACTATAATTAATCAATTATATCTGGACATTTGACCTTTTTATGACCCAAAAAAAAATAAATCAAATTTTTTTTTGAGTAAAGTTCAGTGAACAGTTTGACATCTTCGTTCCCAAAAAAAAAGGGTCATTAGACTTGGTTCTGCCCGCTTGGACTTTCTAATCAAATTGTACATATATTTCTGTTTTTTATGAGAGCCTGGTGGGTGGTTACAAGTCATTGGCAATGGGGAATCTTCTCAATTTTAAGGGCAGTCGGAAAATTCGAAATCAGATTCAGACACCGATTCAAATGGCAGCCGAGGCGGATCATCAATTTTGCAGCCAGAAATGTCAATTGCAGTTGTCATTTCGGGTCAGAGACGAGGCCAAAGAATGTCAGTCCTGACACGAGCCCGATAGAAATCAGAGGGAGTGTATGGGAATCTGTCGATTCATTGTGGCCTAGGGCCACGAATGATTTATTGACTATGTGTCTGGATTTTCCATGAAATATGCATCACCAGGAATGCCTGTAGGGGAGGCAGGAATGAAAGGACAAGTTTATCTAAGTCGGTCAATCGAATCAATGGAACTATTTATATTAAAAGATTAATAAGAAATTGAAGTTACTTTAAGGAAATAGCTTAAAGATGCACCAGATAGCTAGCTATATCTAGTTCGCAAGCCAGCGATGGACATTTCTCTCTGTCTGTCTAATAAATGAATTGCCCAAGGACCCAGTTTTATTCCGCTTTAACCCTTTTCAATTGAGTCTTTAGCCAAGAAGCCAAAATGCTCGCGTTCTCCAACAATTTTGTAATTTTCCAAACAATTTTTAGAGCAATAAAATTCTATTGCCAGGACGCACACATTGCCTGGCAGGCTTTGTCTCCGGCTCTGGGGCTCATCCTGCCTCCGAGGGCACTTCCTGCTAGCCTGGCATCCTGCCAATTCCGAGACAATGCCACATCAGCCCTTCCACCATTTCGTTTTGCATTTGTGTGCACTTATCTCCCCAACCCATTCAATTTTCCCCTTTTTTTTGGCAACAATTTTGACTTTTGCCCTGCCATTTTTATGCCCCGATAATTGCAAGCCGAGCTAGAAACCGCAAGGAGTTGTCAAGTTGGGGAAAATATGCTATAAAACTTGGAAGTTCAAGGTCGATGAGAAAAAGGATACTCACAATCCAGTAGTGCGTTTCAGTTTGTCTGCTTGGATTCAATTGCATCGCACGTTCCTTTCATCTAAGAGCACGTCACAGTTGGTTTAGCTGAAATGAATAATGTTGAGTTTGACTTAAATTAGGTTTTATCCAAAGTATTTGCAAGACAAAAGTTGACAAAGTATCAGCATGGTAAGTTTTGCTAAATCTACCAGGCGGAAATAATGCTTGAATACTCGTATCTCAAAAGTTTGGTTGCCGTGGAGTTGAAGTTGCCATTGGCTTAAAAAAAATGGAATAAAAGCAGAACATAGATAAAGAAATAATATTAAATCGGTATATATATTTAAGCTTTGATTTTCTTTGGTTTAATGCCAACTATTATATTTTTTTGGTAGCCACTTTTGTTTTTTTCTGTATCCTCGAAGACCCATTGTCCTGCTACTGTAATTACACATTTGTTGATTTGTTTCTGCCCCAAATATAATTGCCGAAATAGCCAAGAATGCCGACGTGGCCCTCCCGTTGATTGAACGCGCTCAGCTGAGCCAACATTTAGCAAAGTGCGGCGATTAGCTCATCTCATCGAATTTTAAGAGCACTCCAGCCAGATTGACTTTGGTCCTTGCGTAGGCGGATGTCCTGCCAGGCATCCTGCCAAAGTTTCGAAGCTCATTGCTTTTGATTTACGAGGTCCTGCTCAATGGAGCGTTCTCAATGTTTTAGTGGCCGTCGCCTTCGCAATTATCATCATCAACGGAATATGAAGAGGAAAGGAAAATATATCTTTTGGCCTAAATGCTTCTACTGGATTTTCGCATTTCCGCAGAACGGGCTGTCGGCAGGGGTAAGTAAGAGCTGAAAGTGCGGTAAGAATGGCAAACTGTTGATTTCTCTTCGGTTCCTTCCTGCTCCTGGGAATTGTCAGTCATGTTCTGGTTACGCTTCTCAGGCACGCGTCTGAACTTTGAACTTTTCGGGGTAAAACAAATGTTGGCCCAAAGTACAGTTTTATGGACATATGGCGACTGTTTAACATTAATTTATGTTGGAAAAATACTGAGGAAAGGTAAGACAAACTTTTTGGCAGTCTTACTTTTCAACACATTTCCATAAATAACATTTTAAAATATACCAACTTTAAACAATAGAGTTTATTTTGTCATAATTTTACAACAACCCACAGCAGCTGTAATGTGGCATAATTAAAGTTTTCTGATATTTTAAGCATTAAAAATCCACAAATAAAAACCACAAACAAATGCCAAAATAAAGCTTTACATTTGGATATTACACTTGCACCAAGTTCTCAGCTTTACGATTTTTTCCATTCAATATCTCCGCCTCTTCTATTATTTGCCCTGATTTACCGATTCTCCATATTTCCGGTACAGAAAAATATGTAAATTTTCCCAACTGCCTTTTCAAGTGTAATCAATATTTTTTTCTGGGCCTGCGGAAAGCAAGGCTCTTGTGGCTTGGCATTTGCATAGTGGCACTTGCGTGCATTGGATAAATGGATTTTCTACTTTCCAAAAGATCCCAAAACGGCCAAATTATTCAGAAACTGAACAGAAATAGTGAAATAAAATATTGTGTAAGAAGACGGCATTGATCGTTTAATTTCGTAGATGGGTTTTCTTGCTACCTTAAAAGACATCCAATGTCCAGGGTGCCTTTGTGGGGTCATAAAAAAAAAAGGTAAAAAAAAAATAAAGATAAAACATGTCTGTAATATAAACATAAGTCTTCGATATTTTTTAACTTTAATTTCATATGTTCATCTATCCTTTTTAACTTTTCATTAAAACAAACCGTTGTGGGCATATCTTAGGACCCATAGTCTTAATTTAATAAAAAATAATAAAAGAAAAAATAAGGAAAAAATAAAAAAAAAGATTATTTGAGCTGAAACTTCAATTTCATATGTTCATCTACCCTTTGTTTTTTGGCCTTCCTGGTCAATTACATAGGACCCATAGTTTTATTTAAATAAAACATAATAATAATAGAAAAACAAAGAATAAAAAAAAGGTTATTTGAGCTGAAAATTCAATTTCTTATGTTCATTTAACCTGTTTAACTTTTTATTAAAGCAACGCGCTGTGGGCACATTTTAGGACCCATAGTTTTAATTTAATAAAAAAATAATAAAATAGAAAAAAAAAATCTACAATTGATAAAAAGAAAACGAAGAGCCTGGAAAGGATATTAAGCTTTCTTCATTTTGGAATTTATGGAAGAATTTTAATATAATTAAAAAAATTTTAAAGGAAAACAACAGACCATTAGTCTCCAATTGCAAAGCGGAAGGATGCTGGAGTGATAAGCAACCCATGAATTTTTTTTAATAGTAAAATATTTTTTTTGGCAAAATAAAATAAATAATTCAAAAATAAGAAAAAATGTTTCAATTAATTTAATGAGAGAATATTAGATTATTTATTCAATCCAAAATTAAAAAAAAATAAAAATAAGAAAAGAAAAAGGGGAGTTTATCAGAGAACCTCCTACTGGAGTCCTTTAACGAAACTGAAGCGGAATGTTAAAATGCTTGCCTTTTATAGAAAACGGTGCTAACTTTTTAACAAAAGTCATGGCCTGCTGGAGTAAATTTGTTGTAATACCAAATTAGTATTACCAATGTCACTAACACAGTTCACTAAAAAGTTAATTTCAAGGGTTGTGTGAAATGACACAACGAAACTTTACTTGTGGAAATTTCGATTATTAATCTTCATTAAATACGACTCTGACTCCTAAGTCATAATTTAATAAATTAAATTATAAATTAAGAAGCTATTTAGAAAGGGATCAGCGCTCCTAAAGAAAAGCTGCTTCCAATAAAGCCCTTCATTATTTTCCCGGGTATAGACCTGGGGACATGGGGATTTGTGTGTGATCTATCCAACTATCTTATATGAGAGTGTCATCATAAGGCACTCGCCGGCTGAGTAAGATAATGCCCCTCAGGCAGATAAGGATATCAAAGAAAAACTTTATATAGACGTCAGTTGCTTGAGGTGCTGGATATGCATATAAGAAGTAAAAACCGCTTTTCGTACAAGTTCCATGAGCAAATTAGCAATTATTTATTCAAGAACCTCAAATCTGGTAATCAGTTCTGATGACAAGCGATCAAGGACTGCAGTCCGACACTTGGTTTTTATTCCCCAGGCTCTGATGTCGTTTTTATGCCACACACGACTGTGTCAACAGGCCATCAACAACACATTGGCAAACAATCCGGCAGGCTCCCTACTCTCCTTCCCCCATTTTGGATTACCCTCCACGACCCTGTAATCCAAATGTGCTGGCATATGTTATGAAATTAACGAGTTTACTTTATGCGGGCGGCATTATAAACAGGCAAACAAAAATGGCCTAATAAAATTGTCAATAATGCGACAGCCGCACTTGAAAAATGTTGGAGGGAGAACGAAAATGAGGGTTACAAAATGTTAGAGTCCTGGTGGAAATGGATGACAACAAGGACATTACTCATACGCAATGTGTGCACGCTTCGACTGGAAATCAACTGCAGCTGACCAAAAATCAGTGTCACTTTCAGTGGGTTCATTTATCATCGCTTTGCCTTGGCATCAGACAAGGCTAGAGGTGCCAGGGGCCGGTGGCCGGGGACCGGGGGCAGGAGCAGGAAGGTCCTGGGGCAGCTGTCATGTTGAGCCAGTCAACGTGATTTGTCTCGACGCCAGTCAAATCAACTTTTTCCTAGGAGTCGAGCCCTTTTAAAAACGACCCACACTGAGAAAAAAATTAGCTTAAGAAATA